AAATCCAACTCTGGACAAATTTTGCTCGTTTCAAATGCCAGTACCCGGTATTAATAGGAAGCGGAAAGGAGCCGTCGAGTCACTAAAATCGGCTCAAAAAAATAAGCCAACTCCTGTCAATACAACCCAGGGACAACGAACTGCGTCCTCCTCTCCGCCAGCGCTTCAAAATAATAGATTTGCAGCCCTTTCGGAAGAAGCTGATTCCATTATGGAAATGGAAGAGCCAGATTCCGAAGATCCATCGAGCCAGCAAAATGAAGCCAGCCGTTTCCAGCAGGGAAGTAGTATTCCTAAGCCTCCTGCTATATGTGTGCCACAAGTCAACAAATTGGATAAGCTGGAGGTGGCGCTCAATTCTGCTGTCTCCCCTAACGATTACGACATACGCACATCGAAATCTGGGATCTCGCGTATTTATACGAAGAATTCGAATGCGTTTCGTGCAATAATCAAATTATTGTCCAATCAAAATTGTCAATTCTGGCACCACCAGTTGAAGGAGAACAAACCCTGCAGATTGGTGCTCAGAGATATTCATCCCAATGTACCCAGGCAATTAATAGAGCGCACCTTTACCGACAAGGGCTTTACAGTTTTGAATATATATTGCCCCAGAAAACCGGACTGGCGTAACATTCAAATTAATGAGGAGGATGGTGAGGACATAAATAATGTTAAAACAAGACAAAATATGTTTTACGTTAACCTCCAGAACGCACCCAACGTTGCTGAGGCACTAAAAATAACTCAAATTGGTAGACACAGGGTTACAATATCAAAGGCCAAACAGAGTAAAGAGCTGGTACAATGCTTCAGATGCCAAGATTTCGGGCACACGAGGAACTATTGCCTTAAAAAGCCGGTTTGCGGTAAATGCTCGGGGGACCATGATACTGGCTCAAAATCATGTAACCTGAATGATAATGGGGAATTTATATGCGCTAATTGCGGCGAAGACCACATGTCGAGCTTCAGAGGCTGCAAGGTAAGAATTGATCTAGCCAAAAAACTTAAGCCAGCTGTGAGGTTGCCGAAAGATGGACTAGTTATCGGTAGCAATAGGAGTTACCCAAATAACCAAGGCACTAAAGTACAGTTTATCTCAAACTCTACTGTTAAGAGTGGCTTCTCTTATGCTGATGCAGCTAGGCCAATTGGAGAAAAACGTACCAGCGCGCCAACAAACCAAAACTCGCCCCGATCACACAGTTCCGCCGAAGATTGGCATCTAAACAACAAATTTAGTATGCTGGAAAAGGCGATTTTAGATCTAAACGCAAGAATGGATCAAATGTATAAGCTCATACAGGAAAATATGGATTCCAATAGAGCCTTCCGTGACTTGGTACAAAAACTAATATCCAAATGTTAAATCCGCTGTTAAAAATCGGATTATGGAACGCACGGGGCCTGGTCAAAAACAATGATGAACTCAGGCTTTTCCTAAGTTCAAACTCGATCGATATCATGTTAATAACCGAAACGCATATGCGTCCTGGCTTGAACGCATATTTGCCAGGATACGACCAGTACTACGCTAATCATCCTAGTGGCACCGCTAAAAGTGGTTCTGCAGTCATCATTAGATCAAGTATCGCTCATTCACAGAATGAGCCAATTCTAAAAACAAGCATCCAAGCGGCCAGCGTAACTATACCGACGAATGGTGGAAGCATCAAAGTCTCCTCCCTATATCTTCCTCCCAATGAAGCTTGGTGCAGGGCCGACTTTGATCTATTGCTTGCAACCTTAGGAGATAAGTTTATTGTAGGCGGTGATTTTAATGCAAAACACCAATGGTGGGGTAATTCCAGATCTTGCAGGCGAGGAAGGTGTTTGCAAGAGGCCATAGCTAGTACTACTTGCCAAGTTCTTGCTACTGGAGAGCCAACTTTCTACTCTTACAACACACGACTTAACCCCTCTGCACTAGACTTCTTTATTGTCAACAGGATTGCCCTAAACAGACTCACCGTTGAAACAAAATATGAGCTCGCATCGGATCACCTTCCAGTAGTAGCGACGCTACATCATGCACCGCAATATAATCCCAAGAGGGAATATATTCTACCACCTGGCTCCCGTATTGATGTTTTTAAAGCCGATCTCGAAAGAAGAATTAACCTGAACGTCGAAATTAACAGCCCAGAGGATATCGAAGACGCGATATCAATCCTCATGAAGAACATTTCACTGGCTGCGTCTTCTGCTGCACCGAAAACTTTACGCTTGCCAACCCAACATAGTCAAGCTAGTCTACCACCAACGGCTGCTGCGCTCTTAAGCCTGAAAAGAAGAGTCAGGAAAGAATATGCAAGAACTGGAGATACTCGCATTCATCAAATCTACAAAAGACTGTCCAATCGACTGCAAAAAGAGCTTGCTAAAATCAGACAAGGCAGAATTGATGACATATTGGAAAGTGCTGGTCCAGATGCATCATTTAATTACTCGCTCTGGAAGCTTACGAGGCGATTTAAGAGGCTGGTCATCCCTAAGACTCCAATTAAGGATCCTACAGGTGGATGGAGCTACTCCAGTCAGCAGAAAGCTGAAATCTTTGCAAACAGCCTAGAGGAAAGATTTAAGCCTTTTGACTTTACAACAGCAGATAGGCGAAGGGTAGTCGAGCTTAGGCTGGAGATGCCATTCCAAATGGCCTTGCCTGCAAGCCCAGTTACACTTCAAGAAGTGGTACAGCAGATAAAAAATCTAAAGGTAAAAAAAGCGCCTGGAGAAGACCTTTTAGACAACAGGACGCTGAAACTGCTCCCCACAAGGGCTCTGCTGTATATTGTCTTGCTCATGAATAACATACTCAGGCTGAGGCACTTTCCAAACTGCTGGAAAATGGCGCTAATTACGATGATTCCAAAGCCAGAGAAACAGCATACTGAAGTAGATGGATATAGGCCGATTAGTCTGCTACCTGCCCTCGGGAAGATGATGGAACGCGTGATTCTGGACCGGATTCTCCAGCTCGAAGCCGTGACGCGCAGAATTCCAAAATGGCAATTTGGTTTTCGAAGAAGTCACGGAACACCGGAACAGCTCCACCGTGTGGTCAACTTCGCCCTGGAAGCCATGGAGCAAAAGATGTACTCAGTGGCTGTGTTTATGGATATTAAACAAGCTTTTGATAGAGTGTGGCATGATGGTCTCCTCTGCAAATTGAAAGGCATGCTAACTCCTCAATTGTTTCAACTCATCGAAAGCTTTCTAAGGGACAGAAGCTTCAGAGTTGCTGTTGATGGAGTGAAATCCACGAGGCGCTCAATTTGTGCAGGGGTGCCCCAAGGCAGTGTTCTCGGTCCTACCCTGTATACATTATTTACTGCTGATATGCCTGCACCGCAAGAGATCATTGGAGTAGACGAGGATGACGCACTAATAGCTACTTACGCAGACGACACTGCGGTGCTTACCAGAAGCAGAGATATCGATGTAGCTTCGGAAGCCTTACAGCAGTATGTAAGTAGTTTCGAGAAGTGGGCTCTGAATTGGAACATTGGTATCAACGCCAGCAAGTGTGCGAATGTCACATTTACAACAAGGCCGTCGTCATGCGGAGATATCACAATGTTGGGGTCCACGCTCAGTCATACAAATTCGCACAAATATCTTGGTGTAATTCTGGACAGAAGACTCAACTTCAGCAAGCATACAACAATGGTGAAGCGATCGGTCATGGCGAAAGCCGGAAAGATGGCATGGCTGCTTGCACCATGCAACAAGCTGTCCCTGCACAGTAAGGTGACAGTATACAAGTCCATATTAAGTCCAATATGGAAGTATGCGCTACCAATTTATGGCATTGCCGCTGCTTCAAACCTAAACAAAATAAGAGTTGCGCAAGCTAAAATACTTAGAAAAATATGCAACGCTCCCTGGTATATGCGCACTAGGGACATCGAAAGAGACTTATGTGTCCCCAAGGTTGGCGATGTCATTCAAATGCACGCAAGCAATTACGAGAAGCGACTCGGCAGTCACCCCAACGCACTAGCGAGGCGGCTCCTGTCCAAACCTAAGAAGAGAAGACTGAAGAAGTGCCATCCAAAGGATCTCCCCACAAGAGCCCTTGTATAAAATACATAGTATATATCATAAAATATAATCATTTTTCATGTAAAACATTGTAAATATTGTATATATGTACATAGATATAAGTGCGTCCTATAGATGCTTACTATAGACAACTTTTGTATTCCCTAACTTTCAACTAGCTTAAGCTGCCATATTGGTAGTAGAAAACTAGTTTAATAAATTGTATATATGTAAAAAAAAAAAAAAAAAAAAAAAAAAAAAAAAAAAAAAAAATAATACTTAATACATTTAATATATATGTAATTTAAAAAGAGAGCATAACATCAGGCGTAGAAAGTAATTGATGTTTGACTTGCATACTTTTGGGATGATCTTCTTAGTAACTGTTTCTTTTATAAAGTAATTTCATTCGCAAGTTATTGTGGGATTGCTATCAATTGCATACTTTCTGATTACTTTTAGTTAAATAAATTTCAATATTAATAGAAGCCGTTCATCTGTGGTATCCGAGGCTGACATTCACGGTCTACCATTAAAATTATCCAAGAAACGTGTACATAGTATTAGTTATCCGAGTAAAGAAATCAAGACTCTAGTTTTAAAAAGTTTATTCATTAGTCGATTGTTTCCAGTTTAGTTAAAATAATATGCTCCTGAAATCACTAATTAGTGGACGTTCTATATCGGATTTTATTACATTTTCATCGATCGAGCAATTTAAAAATGTTCAGTTAATCGTAAAAAATGAAAAATTTGCTTATACAAGTATTCTTTATCGTTCGATCATATTGGTGTCAGACCTGTTATAGTTATTTATCTAAGCATAGGTACTATGTATGTATTTGTTGCAATATGAAGAAAGAAGCAAGGTATCTATAGAATATAGAATATCTTCAGAATAAAATTGTATATGCTATTTTATTTATTAATATATTTAATCAAAATTGCAGAAACTAAACAAGACGAGAACTGTGCGCTTCTGCTGCGAAGGCTATGAGGGGAATCTCTCGGACAGTAAAGCTATTTGCAAGCCCATTTGTCGCGGCGGTTGTGGGCGTGGCAACTGCCTGTCTCCCGACATATGCAGCTGTGAGGAGGGCTATACAGGCAAGCATTGCACACAACGTAAGTAAATTATTATTGATTTAAGTTAAACAGTCTAGTAATGCTCTTTCTAAGGTTGCGATCACGATCGCTGGGGCCTGGGCTGCAGAAATCCGTGTCTGTGCCAGAACGATGCCGTGTGCGATAACAAGTCTGGCATTTGCCATTGCATAGCTGGCTGGGCAGGACAGTTGTAAGTTTTTCTTTTGACTAAACATTTTTTAAATAGAATAGCTTTGCTAAAGCTGCTCCTGTTCTTTGCAGCTGCGAGCAGCCCTGTCCGCCGGGCACCCATGGCGTCATGTGCCGCAAGGCCTGCGACTGCGCGGACAAGCTCTGCCATCCGCAAACCGGCGATTGCATCAGCCAGCACTTGCCGAACGTGACGCACGTGATGTTCGAGACGCTGAACTCGACTATAGTGAACATAACGCACAACCTGGACCACATAGCCAAGAAGATAGGCAGCATATCGGAAGCGGAACACGAAGCGAGCAGCACACCAAAGCCCGTGCCCGAGGTCATTCTGATCAAGCAGGCGGCGGAGGAGGCGCCGCACTCGCCCAAAATCATACTCCATCAGTCGGGCGGCGATTTGCTGGAGAACTTGCACTCAGTCGCCACGGGCGGAAAGGGCGTGGCCGATGTCATACACGTCATCACCAATTGGCCAGCCAATGGCTCGAGTCCTGTGCCGGTGACCCAACAACCACAGATAGCGGTTGCCGCCGTGGCAGCCGGGGACTTGCCCACTGGCGAGTACAAGGAGCACGAACACGCGAAGACGGCGGGGGATCACGAGACCAGTTTGCTGACCACTCTGCTCATTATATTGCTCATCATTCTGATAGGCATAACAATCGCCTTCCTATATGTGTACAGACGCTATCATTGGCATAAGCAGCGCGTGCAGGCGGCGCAGTCCAATGGCCAGACGGCGAATGGCCAGACAGTAACCGTCAATGCCCCAGAGTTGGTGCTAACCGAGGCCAGCTTGGGAAAGCCCTTTCTCAAGCCATTGCCTGAACTGCCACGCCACCAGAACTCTGTTTCCAGCTCGGCGGGTGCCCCAACGATAACGGACTTGCGACACATAAACGAGGGTATGTAAGTGTCGCCTAAAAAAAGAAACAGTTGCCCCTTGAACTAGGCTTTCCCAGCTGCCCCTCTCTCTGCAGATTGAAAGAGTATTTAAAGCAGCTTATAATGCATACAAATTCTTTGAACCTTAACTAGAAACCCAAGCAAATCTAAAATTAATTTTTTTATGTCAGCCTTATAAAGATCAGGACTCATAGAAATTACCGCACCTTTTGGTAGAATACCTTATTAGCTTTTAAATTATTAATTATGAGCGTTCGGCTTCGTTGCTAAATAGGCTGAGTTCTCAAACCTTCCCAGAGGAAGATGGACAGTTGATTGAAAGAGTATTCCAAGCAGCTTATAATGCATACAAAAAGGCAGTATGCGGCGTTTAAAAATGTTTCAAAATCGTTTGAACCTTAACTAGAAACCCAACCAAAGCAAAAATTAATTTGTTTTAAAGTCTTTAAATAGCTATTTATATTTATTACAAAGCCCTATAAAGAATACCTTATTAGCTTTTAAATTATTAATTATGAGCGTTCGGCTTCGTTGCTAAAAAGGCTGAGTTCTCAGGCCTTCCCAGAGAAGGACGGACAGTTGTTGAAAGAGTATTCCAAGCAGCTTATAATGCATACAAAAAGGCAGTATGAGGCGTTTAAAAATGTTTCAAAATCGTTTGAACCTTAACTGAATTTGGAACTTAAAGTCTTTTCTGTAATAGCTATTTAAATTTATTGAGAAGATCAGGACTAATAGAAATGATCGGCCCTTTTGATAGAATATCTCTTAGCTTAATTATTATTGGCGTTCGACTTAGTTCTCAGTTTCTACAACAAATATTTAACTCGAACACTATTTAGGTAGGCTCTTGATAGTAAAAATTGTTAATATTTGTTTAATTACAGCTCCGCCGGAGCTCTATGACACGCCCAGCAATAACTCATCCATCAAGACACCGCCCTATGCCTATGCGCGCAAGGAGTCCCTCTATTCGGTCGTGTCGCCCAAGTCGCGCAAAGGCAGTCTAGACTCCCACCTCTACGATGAGATACGCTACCACCATCAGCAGCAGCAGCAACAGCAGCAGCAACTGCAGTTGCAACAACAGTTGCAGCAACAGCAACAGCTGCAGCTTCAGCAAAACAATTCTAGCCACTCGTACCACTCGCATCAGGGCATGCCACAGCGCCGCTATCAGCATGCCACCACAGCGGCTGCCTACTTGCCACCCGCCCAGCCTAGCAGCGCCAGCAGCCAGCCGGCCACCACCCACCACATCGCCCACTTGATCATACCGCCGCAGAACTCCAAGTTCCTGCAGGTTCCCACGCTCACCTCAGCGCACAAAATTGCACATTTGTAGTCTTACGTCCAAGTGGACCATCACAGTAATATTTCCATTCAAAATTCTCATTCGATTGACTTTTCTATATTGTACAATTCTTCAAATGAATTAGCAACCACAACTGTTGTTATGCTGGTTACACGCCTACCATATGCTACCCGCATATGTGTGCCTCAAAAGATTATCTGGAATGAAGATTGGAAGCGAATATTTGAGGCACGTTTCTAGCGTAAAATTGTATTGTTTTTTCAACCGAAATTTTCCCTCAATTCACATTCCTAAAATATTTTACGAATTTATGTACGTATGTATGTCTGGTTGTAATATTGTATTTTAATTTTGTAACTTTTCTACACTTATTTACAACGTGCAACTCAAACGAGGCACTTAAATTAAATAAAACCATATTTATTTGGTACATGAAGCAATATTGGATCTACTTGTATATTCTAGAAGAGAACAAAAATTTAATTTCATTTCTGTGCCTGGACTTTTATGGATATTTTATAGATTTTATGGATGAGTTTTGTTGCCATAAAGTTTAAAAACTTTAACTGTAAGGGCAGACCATAGCTGAGCGCCCAATTCACATCTCTCCTTCGATCGTTACACGCCGATTTATAATGAGAAGCTATATACACGTTATTATTTCCGTTTGGAGATTTCTATGAACAGGGCTCGAACCTCGCTGACTATTTAAATTGTTTAGGTTTGATTGACTTGGTCTCAAATATTTGAACACAAATCGGTGATAATAATATTAGATTTTTTAGAAAATATATACAAACGAAGTTGAGTTGATCTTTCAGATCATCTTTCATATTCAGGAATGGAAAGCTATAATCGGAGGAGGCCTTATTTCTAAAAACCGTGAATCCTCACCTCAACAAGAAGGACAGCGCTAGAGATAATATTTATGGCTATACCTTTCTTTGACAGACGGACTTATAAGCACTCAGCGGGTGTAATTGTCAAATTTGGATAAATACTTTCAATTCTCGGAGATATGTTTTATGTTTAATTATTTGTGTAAATGCCCTGAAAACAAATTTTTGTATTTCAGAAATGAACAAAAAAAACTACAATTTTTCCCAAAAATGAAATAAATTTATATTTCCAGAGTGTTGTGTTATCGGACACGCATTTCCGCAGTCTTAGTCATGCTGGTCAAGATAAATATGTGGCGAAAAAAAATACATATCTATAAAAGAATTCTGTCGAAACCCGAAATGAAACGCACAGTTTTCTTCAGGCTGATAAACAAAATATATATGATCGAGTTCAAATAACGCAAAAATGATTTAAGAAATTAAGAATTGTACAATTAACTTACAAGTCAAATAACACAAAAATGATTTAAGAAATTAAAAAACCTTGATTTTGTTAATTTATTAGTTAGTTAGACATTATAGGAACCGTGGCGCACTTTTTGCGTACACACTATATAGGCACCGAAGCAAACGATTGCTATTGTTAGGGTGGCTATGCCAATTATGGTGACAGGATTTAGTCCATTTGTCTGAGCACCATTATCCTGGGAGCCAGCGGCATCATTTGCAAACTTCTCCGTGGTCGTATCCAATGGAGCTCCGGCATGTTCATGAATTTCTGCAGCTTCTGAAGCCAAGGACTCGTCGTTAAAGATCGAGTTCTCTGATGTGGATGACACCGCATCTATGTATGTATAGTTAAACACATTTTCTGTGGTTAAGCCATCATTAGCGAGGAGCGAAGTTTCTGCTGTGGATGCGTAAATATTTACATCATCAAATACTGCAGGGATATAGGTTGCTTCTTCGTGTCCGATCGTTGCTTTTGTTGTTGGCTTAAATACACAGCTCGGCTTGCCAGTATGCATTGAGATTGTAGGAACAAATCCGACCTTGCACTCACAGGCATCGTTTGCATTGCAGAAGCTTTTTCCTGTACAGGGAGGATCACAGAACTGCGCGTCGATCACAACACCAATAAGAAGCAACAAAAGTCCGCCATTTTTAATGACACCGACATAATGCGGACAGGATTTCATTTCTATAGCGTTCGTTCCTGTGGTTTGCACTCAACTAAACTTTTCGCCAAGCTGTTCTCGCGCGATTAAAACATTTCTTAAGCTGCCTCAATGTCAGACTATATAGTATTTATGTACATGCCCTGTTAAAATGTTGATTCCCACAAATGTGATAAGTATATACACTTTACAGTTATGCATGTATTTATGTTTTAGTGTAACTTCAGATAAGCGATTCGAATATTTGCTGAACAATTGCTGGCGTTTTGCAAATATGTTTAAACTGTGGACTTATGGTATTTAAATGTACATAAGAATATTCATTTGTTTCTAAATAGGAAAGATCTTGTTCAATATACAAGTAATTATGAGGGACAACCACAACTTTTGAATTGGCAAACTTTTTAGAGTGGCATTAAACCAATAAAAAGGTGCTGTTTTTATTTTACTCAACATTGTCGAATTCCAATTATGAAAACTAATTGTTTACAAACATCTCAACTAAATGCGAACAACACATGTTTATTGCATTTTGCAATGCTTACTGCGTACAGATTTGCAGCTTTAGAGACAAACAATTTGTTGGCCAAAAAAAAGCAACAAAATTACATTACAACTGAAGTAACTCGGTAAAAAAAAGTTCGGCCTAGAACTCTGTACTTAAGCCAACGCATATTTCTAATTCCTTCACTTGCACTTGAGTCCATTTTCCGAAATATTAGCTATTATGCTAATTGCTTTACTTAACAGTTTTTGAGCAAAAACAATATTACTATACTTGTAAATAATGTAAAGTTTATTTGATTTTAAAACCTTCTTCTTCGAGGAAAAACGAGTTTATTTGATTTTAAAATCATTTACTTCAATTTACCAAAAATAGTAAAGAGTTTATTTCTTCTTGAATTTACATAAAGGAACATAATGTTTATTTGATTTAAAAAGCTTCTTCTTCAATTTTTCTAAAATAATAAAGAGTTTCTTCAATTTACAAAGAGTAATATAAAAAAAGAAAAAGCTTCTTCTACAATTTACATAAAAGAATAAAGAGTTTATTTCTTCTTCAATTATCACAAGTGAATAAAAAGTTTATTTGACTTTAAAATCTTCTATTTACATAAAAGAATAAAGAGTTTATTTCTTCTTCAAATACATAAAAGAATAAAGAGTTTATTTGATTTAAAAAGCTTATTCTTCTATTTACATAAAAGAATAAAGAGTTTATTTCTTCTTCAATTTTCACAAGTGAATTAAAAGTTTATTTTTTTTAAAAAGCTTCTCAGTTATTATGAGCGATTGCTGCATTTGTAGATCGCGAAACCACCGATTCCAACTACAAACAAAACACCTAAAATAATGGCAGAGACACCAAATACACCCAATCTGTCAGCCGCTAAGGACTTAGTATCCTTGTTAAGCATTGCGGGATTTGGTAATGTGCTATTGTCCTTCGCTTGCGAGTCCATAGATCCAGCCAGTGTGGTAGTAACATCTTGGGGCTTCGGTGTTGTACTATTGTCCTTCGCTTGCGAGTCCTTAGATCAAGCCGGTGTGGTAGTAACATCTTGGGGCTTTGGTGTTGTACTATTGTCCTTCGCTTGCGAGTTCTTACAGCCAGCCTGTGTGGTAGTAGCATCTTGGGGCTTTGGTGTTGTACCATTGTCCTTCGCTTGCGAGTCCTTACAGCCAGCCTGTGTGGTAGTAACATCTTGGGGCTTTGGTGTTGTAGTATTGTCCTTCGCTTGCGAGTCCTTAGATCCAGCCGGTGTGGTAGTAACATCTTGGGGCTTTGGTGTTTTACTATTGTCCTTCGCTTGCGAGTTCTTACAGCCAGCCTGTGTGGTAGTAGCATCTTGGGGCTTCGGTGTTGTACTATTGTCCTTCGCTTGCGAGTTCTTACAGCCAGCCTGTGTGGTAGTAGCATCTTGGGGCTTTGGTGTTGTACTATTGTCCTTCGCTTCCGAGTCCTTAGATCCAGCCTGTGTGGTAGTAGCATCTTGGGGCTTCGGTGTTGTACTATTGTCCTTCGCTTGCGAGTTCTTACAGCCAGCCTGTGTGGTAGTAGCATCTTGGGGCTTCGGTGTTGTACTATTGTCCTTCGCTTGCGAGTTCTTACAGCCAGCCTGTGTGGTAGTAGCATCTTGGGGCTTTGGTGTTGTACTATTGTCCTTCGCTTGCGAGTCCATAGAATCAGTTACGGTGGGAATAGCGTCTGCACTACTGTTCTTCGCCTGGAAATCCTCAGTGCGAGCCAGAGAAGGAATACCCACTGCGGGCTCTGGGTATCCTGTGCAGTTTATATGTTCAGGCGCTTGATTTTCTTGGGCGAACGTAGCCACGCACAAGCCAACCAAGAGAAAAATTGTGTATTTGAACATTGCAAAGGTGTTTGATGAAGCTTGCTTTCAGAATACGACTTATTCGGCTTGAACTTCGAAAATAACTGATTGAAATATGCATTAAGACGCCCCTATATAATGGTTGTTAGCTCAAGAAAGAGGACTGTTTCAACACATATTGATTTATTATGTACATTTATTTGTGCTGATAAAAGAAACCCAATAAAAATCAGCGGGCTCTGTATATAAGTACGTATGTAGTTGATTAATTTCTAATTGAGATTTTTATCGAAATAAATTGTTAGTTATAAGTTTCGAAGAAAATAATGTTATAGACGTATTTTCCTGGATTCTCTGAGTCATTCAAAATAAAATAATAATTAATTAAATTAATAATAAAAACGCACACTCTCAAAAATGATGAGCACCTCATCTACAGATATTGACAGGCAAATGGAATTTAATATAAATTAAATTATTTAATTTTTTTTATTGGGTTTAAAATTTTAGTTTTTTCTTTTTTATTATTAATTAATTGTAGTAAAGTTAATTGAAAATTAAATTTCTATCTTATGTTTTCAAAATATTAACTAATTTAATAAATTATCTCATCATTTATTTACTAAAGGGTTAATTAAATAATATAAAAAATAAATAACTGTTAAATTAAATTAAAAATTAATTAAAAGAAAAAAAACTAAAATGAAATATATATTGAGTTCAGTGCGTACTCTGAGCCACTTTGATTCCTGAGCGTAATTATTTTCTGATAAGGTTTTAGCTCTGCCAGTGTAAATAAATTTAAAAAAAAAAACTAAAATAGAATATATATTGAGTTCAGTGCGTACTCTGAGCCACTTTGATTCCCGAGCGTAATTAATTGCTGATAAGGTTTTAGCTCTGCTCCGTAATCTCGACTCGGCATTCATTCCTCAGAGAAAAGTGGCTCCAATAACAACGCGGTGTCGGACTATCCCGCATATAAATGTACGATCGTCACAAGACGGCGTTAAAAATGCTGGCTATACGAGTGTTATTTCTCAGCTGTTTAGCGACGTCACATCAACTCTATGGCGATATTTACAGCGAAATCGAGTCGCTGAGCCTGATCCGGCAGAAGCAGACACATTTGTGCTATCGAGAAGTGCCGTAAGTACCTCTTTCTCGATCGCTGTATAACGTATTTAAGTATCCCCTTAAGTGGCCAAGAGAGTTTTCACTGTATTACTAATTAGACATTTTTGCGAAACAAACGAGCATCTATGGTGAACTAATTTTTAAGAAAATAGTAGCATTCAGCATCACAAACTTTCTAGTATAAGTCGACAAGCCCGCGATAGTAAATTAGAAATGAGGAGAAGAGCGAACTCTCGGCTGCAGTTAGTGGGCGTAGTACTAGAATAGAATTGGAGGTGCTTTCTGGTACTGCTCCTTAGCTAGGTGATATAATAATATTATAATATATACATATATTAATATAATATGGCCAGTTAACGAGCTAGATAGATGGCCAGAGCAAGCTTCCTAACCTAGTGCATATACATAGTATGTTTAAAAGGCATTTAAATTCGCAGGATTAAAGGAAAAAGGCGTAAATAATACTATAATAATCAAGGATGTGTATTTTGCAGTTAGCTTTTTAGTTTTCATAGTTGTGCTATAAAATTGGTTTCTATAATAAATATGATTTACATCGTATGCTTAATATTAAAGTTGTGCTATAAAATTGGTTGCGAGAATAAAAATGAATTACATCGTATGCTTAATATTAAAGTTGTGCTATAAAGCTGCTATAATAAAACTGATTTACATCGCATGCTTAATATTAAAGTTGTGCTATAAAATTGGTTGATTTACATCGTATGCTTAATATTAAATTGTGCTATGAAATTGGTTGCTGTAATAAAACTGATTTACATCGTATGCTTAATATTAAAGTTGTGCTATAAAATTGGTTGCTATAATAAAAATTACGCTGAAAGATTCCGTTACATACATACATACATACAGGTGAAACTAATAAAAGCGTGTTAAAAATGATTTACATCGTATACTTATTATTGTACACAAGTTTGTTAAACAAACTTTTCAATATTAATGAATTAAATTTAATTTAAATATTAATGCATTGCTTCTATTATATGGACTAAGAATTTACTCGCATAGTACACTATAAGTTTGTTTATCAACTGCCTAAGCTGAAGGGAAAAATGTAACCTTTTTGTTTTGGGGGATTCGGCCCTTAGAGCCGTTTTCTTTCAGGTGGCGAAGAACGAACCGATACGTGGTAATGGGTCCAGTATTTTCTATCAGCGCATCGAAGTCTGCTGTGTAGGGTACAGACGTGTGGCGGAGCAGTGCGTACCCGACTGTTCCCACAGCTCGCCCGACAATTGTCGCAATGGCTTCTGTCGGGCCCCCAACAGCTGCGAATGCTTTGAGGAGTTCGTCAGGAACGAGCATGGGAGCTGCATACACACCTGTCCCATTGCCTGCCAGCATGGACGGTGCTATATGAATGGCACCTGCTCCTGCCACTCCGGCTACGAGCTGGACCAGGAGACGAGGCTCTTTTGTCGCCCGCATTGCCCGCTGGGCTGTGGCACGCATCAGGAGTGTGTGGCGCCGGGGAAATGCGACTGCTTGTCCGGATATCAGCGCACGGAGTTCGGCTGTCAGCCTGTCTGCACGCCCGACTGTGGCTATGGAAAGTGTGTGGGTCCCAATCAGTGCGATTGCTTTCCCGGCTACATGAAACGGAAGCACCGAAATGTTTGCGAGACTGAGTGCTATCTGTGAGTATCAAAAGAAAATCCACTTTGATCCTGAGTCCTCATCTTCTTACTGTCATTGTGGTAGAAATTGCGAGAATGGGTTTTGCGAATCGCGCATGAAGTGCCATTGCCACGAGGGATATAGTTACGATGTCAATACCGACAGCTGTCTGCCCCAATGCTCTGACAACTGCAATGGCAATGGCGTTTGCATCGCTCCTGGTGTCTGCCGCTGCTACGAGGGCTACGAGCTGCTGGGAAATAGCTGCGAGCCTGTGTGCTGGGGGTAAGCCCACAAATATATTTTGTAAAGTCGATCAAACTTTCTGACCACAAGATATGCTAGCAGTTCCCATCTATGAAATGAAAGGGCGTTCTAAGAAGTTTTTTATGCACATAGCACACATATTCAGACTTAAGCGATTATTAGTTTTATAAAAGTGTATAAAACAGTTTATGCTGACTACATATTCAGAAAGAATATACAGATTTTTGAAAATGAGAACAATGTCGGAAAAGAATTAGGTTATATGTAGCTAAGAAAATATAATTGTAAGCAACAAAGAAGGGTTAGACCTGCTAGCTATATTATTTGTATTATTATTCTTTAATGGTTGCTTTGAAAGGAACAAATTTTAAATTACTTCCTGTACCGTGAGTAGTGCAAGATTAAATGGGGCTTTGCAGATTAAAATTAGGAATAGCAGCTTAGTGTTAATACTCAGCATTGAGCCCAGTAACCAGATGAGTTGCCAAACCCTTTGTTAAGCCTTTAAGCGTTTAGCCTTAACATGGTGGCCTATCAAAATTTAGGCCAGCTAGCTAGTAGATGGTAGAGCATTGCCGAAGTCTAGTTATATTATAAAGCACTTTTAATAACTTACTATAATAATTAATAATTAACCATAATAACTTTGTTTGACCAAACGTTTTATGGACTTCCCCTCTTAGTTTCGACAGCCCTACTTTCCGATTACAGACCATCACAATTGCAACAATTTCGTGCATTATAATCAATAATATTTATAAAACAGTTGCAAAGTCTAGTTATATTATAAAGCACTTTTAATAACTTACTATAATAATTAATAATTAACCATAATAACTTTGTTTGACCAAACGTTTTATGGACTTCCCCTCTTAGTTTCGACAGCCCTACTTTCTGATTACAGGCCATCACAATTGCAACAATTTCGTGAATTACAATCAATAATATTTATAAAACAGTTGCAAAGTCTAGTTATATTATAAAGCACTTTTAATAACTTACTATAATAATTAATAGTTAACCATAATAACTTTGTTTGACCAAACGTTTTATGGACTTCCCCTCTTAGTTTCGACAGCCCTACTTTCTGATTACAGGCCATCACAATTGCAACAATTTCGTGCATTACAATCAATAATATTTATAAAACAGTTGCAAAGTCTAGTTATATTATAAAGCACTTTTAATAACTTACTATAATAATTAATAATTAACCATAATAACTTTGTTTGACCAAACGTTTTATGGACTTCCCCTCTTAGTTTCGACAGCCCTACTTTCTGATTACAGGCCTTCACAATTGCAACAATTTCGTGCATTATAATCAATAATATTTATAAAACAGTTGCAAGAACCAATTTCCTATATTGACGTAAGAATTTAAAAAAGGAAACAATAAACAAAAAACTTCTCTAAGTCCGGGCGAAGTTTTCTGAAATTTGTTGCATGGGTTGTAAATTATTTTGAGTAGAAAAGCTATTAAATGTTAATTAGTTTATATTGAACTTTGTGCCCCATTCCAGTTGTTCAATTCCATTATTCATCTCCCCTTTTTCTGCTTCAATTTTACATTTTTATTAAATTTGTTCTCACTTGCAGCGGATGCGGCTACTATGGACGCTGTCTAGCTCCCAATGTCTGTGGCTGTAGCCCCGATCGGCAGCATTGTCTCTTCGGCAGCTGCACTGCGCAAGGCCATTGCCAATGCCCCCCCGGTCTGACCTATTTCGTGGACCGATGCCTCAGTCCAGAACACTTGCAACATGGAGCGATGGCTCGCAGCGAGATCTTGAACTACAATCAACAGTTTATTCATGAATTCAGAATGCTCATTGGTCGCTTGTTTATTTGAAATGTCGAGCATAAAATAAAGTTGAAAGCCTACAAACTACACGGGGAGGCAGGTCTGGCGTCCCTTTATGCCGCTTTTAATGAATCCCGGCTTGCAGATGCAGAAGTTGGGCGCCGAGCAGAAGCCATTGGGGCAGCCTTGGGGACAGTGGGGCTGGCAAATGTTGCGCTGGTGTTCGTCCTGAATATAGCCGGCGTTGCAGGCGCATCTATTCTGGCCCTCACAAACGCCATTCAGGCAGGGCAGGTCACAGTGGGGCGTACACTTGGCCGTTCGCTGGTCATAATCGAATCCGGACGTACACTCACAAGTGTCCGGCGCGATGCAGCGTCCGTTTTCGCAGGGTCTGCAATTTTTAGAAACAGCCATTAGATACAGCTATATGATTTAATGGTATTGCTAGTGAAGTGCCTGACAAAAGTGGATTTTTAAAAGCCTAATCATACATTAGTATTAGAAAATGTTTTTATCAAATATGTAGCGTAGCTTCTTCGTTTCAAAAAGTTTAAATTAATATTATTTTTTATATTTAATTTAATTTCTTTTAAAATGCCACCCAATTGTATTTATTCAAATTATAAATATTATATAATAAATAAATAATTAATAAGCAAGAATTAAGAAGAATTAGAATTAAGAAGCAAGAAGAATAGTCATCAGGGGTTTTTTGTTTAAGGAAATTTAAGAACTATATTCTTTCGATTACAAACTTTATCTTTTAAGTCTTTAATATTATTTTTGTGATGCAATAAAATCTTCGATCAATGGCTGCAATGTTCTCCTTAGCACGCTTCTTAATCCGAAACATTCTTCTTTTCATATTCAGTTTGTAATCGAATGAAGTTACTTGTCATTATAATCGCATGCAGCTCTTTATATTAATCATTTATTTAGTACAAATATTATCTAATTCTGCTACTTACTTTGTGCAAATGGGTTCGCAAACGCCGCTCACCTTCAAGTAGCCCGTATTGCAGCTACAATGACCCGGCGCCGTGCACCCTCCATTCTCGCAATTGTCACACTTGGGCTCGCAAGTGCCGCTGGCGGTCAGCCGATAGCCCTCCAGACAGGCACACTTATTGGGCGCCACACACTGGCCGTGGGCGCAGCCGGGCTGGCAGTCGGGGCGGCAGTACTGGCGGCTGCTTGGGTCCAATTTGTAGCCCGCCCGGCAGCGGCACTCGTTCTCATCGTCGCAGACCCCATTGCCGCAGCCGAGGGGACAAGTGGAGATGCACTTGCCCTCGTGGTTGCGGACATGGCCGGGCATGCAGACGCAGGTGTTGGGCGCCGTGCATATGCCGTTGGGGCAGTCGTCGGCGCAGATGGGCTCGCAGCGGCGATAAACGTGCGGATTCCGCTCGTAGCCCTCGCAGCACACCTGAATGCGACTCATGTCCGGGCTGGTGCCATTCCCCACAAATTTGTCGGCTGAGCTGTGCACCAGAGAGGCCGTCCTATGGAAGCAGAGGAAGGGTAATATTTTAAAGAAATGCCTGAGCTAATATAAAAAGAACTGGATCATTAGAGGTGAGTGTACATAATGAATAATCGGAAAGTATATTTTAATTATGGAAGAGTATATAAGTGGGTTTTTAAACAAGGTTAATTGAATATTAAAATTCAAGAAACTCAATCAATTTTGAATCGCATTCTTGATGTTTAAACAAAACAAAAATAGAGGAAAAGGCACAAATATGTGATTTGTTTCACAAGTTCCACAAAATTCCTAATTCCCTCACAACAGCTGATATGAGTCCTACTTTTTCTTTGAGGAATAAACTCAAGGAACCAATAAGTTGCCTTTAAAATCATTAACTTTGCTGATGCTTAAATATTTTAATAATAGTTTCTTTTTATTAATTAAGACGATTTCTTGAAGATTTGTTGCTTTTTATATATATATATATAGATATATATATATATATATTAGATATATATATATATATATTTCCTATGTCGACAGTCAATGTTTGTTGACATAAATAAATAAATAAATAAAATGTTCCGTCAACAGCAATTAATGATCAAGCAATTAAGATATTTAAACCCAATTTTATACGGATGTTTCTATCACTAGTAGCACAGTTTTATGTTGATGCCTTTGCCTCAGCCAAGAAAACTAGTGTTAAGATGAACCTGAATCTGCCTAGAAGAACGGTTTTCATTAGAAACCCTTGCCCCTTTTTGGGAAAGTAATAATAAATAAGACGATATACTGCGTGCATAATTTAAATAAACAATTAAATAATTACCAAGAAAATAAGCAATTCCTAGAAATAATACTTGTACAAAGAAATGCAATAAAGATGGTCGTATGGGGACAAAAATAATTCAATCAAATCATAAATCTTTTAATAGAAGAGACGCTTGATTTCTTGAATGTGAAAATAGGAACAAGTTAGTTAGTTATAGAACACAAAAAGCAGCTGAGGCGCTTTGACAAATTGTTTGAATTAAATGAAAATTCAAACTAAATCAAACTCTCATTTTTGAAAATGTTGGTTTTTAAAAAGTCCGCTTAAAAAGTAGAATTTTTGTTTATAAATTGCTTGATTTGTCTATGTACAGTGAAAAATCATGGCCGGCCAATTTTTGACCGCCCAAGGGGAGTGTCCACTTAAGGGGATACTTAAATACTTTATACAGCGATCGAATGTTGCAGAAAAAGTGTCCGCCAAGCACTCTCCTCGGATAAAAGAGGTGTCCATTAAAGGAGTTTTCACTGTACTTTGTTTTTCCAAATGACACACAGTACACATAAAAAAAACCTACAAAAACCATGCTAATATATAATGTAGAAAAATAGATGGGTCGCTTGATTTGCTGAATTTTATACAAAAAAAAAAAAAAAATTGCCTAAATTAAATAAAAACTAAGCTTTTTTCTTATTGGCAAATTTTGGCTTTTCAAAAGTTCGCTAAAAAGTATAAGTAGAGAAATATATATAACTTTCTAGCACTGGCTGAAATGTAATATTCGAAATTAAGAAAAATAAGTCGGAGCATTATATCTTTTTATACCTTTAACGACGTTCCTCAACTTGCATTTTCTACGGTATAGCAACTAGTTTTCATTCTCTTTATAAATTGATTGATTTGTAGAATGAGCATCAGCACAAAAATTCATCTACTTTGTTTTTCCAAATGAAAAAATAAAAAACCTACACATATCAGTATCAGTATGTATTGTGGAAAAATAGTGGAGACGCTTGATTTGTTGAATTTTATAGGACACAAAAAACACCTAGCTGCTTTGAAAAATAAAAACTAAACCATACTTTCTTCTTGTTGGCAAAATTTGGCTATTAAAGAGTCCACTAAAAAAAGTATAAATAGAGAAATATAAATAACTAACTATAAAGTAATATTCGAAATGTTTATAACTTAACGACGTTCCTCAACTTGCATTTTCTACGGTATAGCAACTAATTTTGTTTTTCTTTAGTAATTGCTTGATTTGTAAAAATGTGTCTACTTTCAAAACACCTACACATATCAGTACATGCTGCTAAACTAAACTAAATCGCTTGTTTGCGCTCTCATTATCAGAAAAGTGAGGATGTCGAGGTCGTGAGTTCAGTTCAGCCGAGGGGCTGGCTACGCAAACAAAAACAACACATTTGTGTTGTTGTGTTGTGTTATGTAATGTTTGTTGTGGTCGTGATCCCATTGCACATCACTTGCTACTCACGGAACTTCTTTGAAGCACACACCACTGGCCATGGCCTCTCTGGTCTTGTTGATGAATTCCGCTGTGGGATCAAACACCTGGGGCGCTGGTGTACCCCGTGGGAGCGAGGGCTGCACATAGTGGCCATAGAGGGCGGCACCATCGTGATTGCCACCCTGATAGGTCTCAGCGGGTGTATAGCTGGCATAGCCGTGATAGAGTTGGCCTTCCTCGCTGGCGTTGCCAGCTGCATGCAACTGCAGGTTGCCCGAAGGCGGCTGGCGAGTCTTGATGCCCGCCGTCTTGTACTGGGCAGTCGTGTTGCCGCAGAGGGCCATCAGAGCCAGAGCCAGAGGCAGCAGCCAGATCGGTTTGAATGATGACCTCATGCTGCGAGCGCGTCTCCAAATGATGTCAGGGGCACTTAAAATCTTATTATTATTAAACTCAAGTAATGCCGTTCCCTAATTGCTGTCCGTGTACTAAGGCGGCTGCACTTCAACTAATCGTTTCAAAATTCCGAAGCTCAGCTCAGACGCGAGTCGCGAATTGACTTGGAGAATCAAATACTGACGCAGTCGCTGCTTATCTGAATTTCGCATTGGGCGTATCAATAGAGCTCTATTCAACTGAAGGTTGCTGACTGTTGTTGTTGCGACGACGGCGATGTCAGCGACAGATGGCTAATAAATTAGTGCTACTTGTACTTTTATTTTGCACATCTGATGGGTATTTCCGAGAAATTTGTCGAACACTGCCCAACAACATAATTAAATTCAAGGATGGGATAATTTTTAATTTAGTAAATATTTAAATAATATCGTCTGCAATTCCTACAAGAAAAAAGTGCTTCCGCTTTCGAAAAAATATCAATTTTTCAAGCTTAATAAATCTTTAAACTTGTAGGTACTCCTATGATTAAAGAACTTCAAAAATGCAATCCAAAAGAATCTACATATCTTTAATAAATCTCTCTTTAATTTCAGAAAACATTCGTTACAAATTTACAAATATATAGTATACATATGTATAGAAATAATTGCCTTCCTTTAACTGTCTGCAAATTTCAATTGATTGGAATGATTGGAATTTTTCAAATACTTATTGAATGCTAAATATTGCTGAATTAGTTTAAATTCAAATTTGACTAAGCTTATAATACAGATCCAGGCGTTCTTACTACATCAACAAATTAATGCTAAGCCTTTAAAAGTGTGTCCCGTACGTACAACTCCTGTTTTTTAACCCAATTATATGCTTTAATTAAATAAATTTGCGATGTGAGTTAAGCAGTTTTATTTTGGAGTAGATTTCAATCATTATAAATATTGTAAATAATGTAAATAAATCAAAATTAACTGATAAACAACACAGACGGAGCTAATAAGTAGTTTTATAATATAAGACTAGAAGTAGGTATGTATGTTCCCTATAGACTCCAAAACCGCTCAGCCGAGTTGGATACAAATTTGTATTTACTTCAAAAAAATCTGATTTACATCTGTGAAATATTTATTTACCTTTCCAGAAAAATGTTAGAAGTCTTCTTACATATAATTTAAAAATTGGACGCGTTTGTCAGAATGCCATGAATAATTTGAAAATCACCGATTAAGCTCTGGACTGCACTTTCTCAGGATATAATCGACATAGAGCTATTTTATAGGAAACACGCCATCTGCCGGTAGCAAAGGGCACACCCGGTAATAAATGGAAACACTGCAGGTTCGCTATTGTAGAGTTTATTTTCATAAACAATGAATCCATTTCAATCGATCAGATCGAATTATACTACTTGTATATTTATTTATTAATCATCTCGATCGCGGCTCGCTAAATTGTACGTATAACCTATATATTGTTTGTTTTTTGTTTAATATTTAGAGACTATCAATACGTTCCGTCCTCTGTCTTGCTGTCATCTCAATATTTATGAAATGGATTGATTCTCGGGACGCAGTTTGTTAATTTTGTTTATTTAATTGAATTTATTTTAAATAAAACGCACTGCCTTGGCCCTGGACATAAACTAATCAAGTAGTCCGAAAGTAATATTGATAATGGCATACACTGCGTATGCTTGATGGGCAAACAGCAGATAAAGCCGTCCCCGGGAAACGAGCTGAGAGCAAACAGAGAGGTTTATGGCATATGTATTTACTTGAATTGAGCTAAAGCGTTTATTTTTATAACAGATTGGTCCAATTTAACTTTCCTCACAGCGTCCGCCACGCCTCTCAGTGCCCGGGTAGCACTCGCAGACATCGGGCGCCGTGCAAATGCCATTCGAACACTCCTCCGAGCAGGTAGGCTCACATTTCATGGAACTCGCGTCTGCATTACGCACATAGCCCTCGCAACAATAGGAAATGATGCGTAGGCGCAGTTCCGGATCCATTGTGTTGCCCCTGGAAAGTAAAATAGAAGAAGGTTCATGTGGCTGAGGAAAAATCTTGCACACATACATCACTTCCTTGTAGCAAATGCCGGAGCTCATCGAACTGCGGGTCTCCAGCTCGAAGAGCGCTCGTTCGTTGAGCGCATTGAGCTTCCAGAACTGCGGGATGGGGCTGGCGGACGGCAGCAAAAGCAACAGCACTACTAATGGGGCAATCGTAACCCCAACAATCGCGCAATTCCTATGCATATTGTGCTATTCGAATAGAGCTTGAACTTATCGTGTGAGTTGCGCGACGTTTAATGGTTTCAATGGTACTGCAATGCAATGGCGCTTTCCTCTACAATGTTTTCCTCACAAACCGCTCCGCTCAGAAGAAAGCCACAGATAACTGTGTGTGTGGGTTTGTGTGAGAAAAGCAGACGACGCGAGTGTCAGTGGCGATAAAAAAGGGGGTCAATTATTTGGAATGAGCAGCGTAGTTCTGAATTTGTTTTGTATTATAAGTTCCAAAACAAATTAGAAAAAGTTTTGGATTATTACAATTATTTAAAGCTGAGGAGCTTCGACTGTAGAAAAACTACTGGAGGAACACTCCTGAACAGAGCATACATTTTATTTCTAAAAATCATGGCTTTCAATATTTCTAAAAGCATATTTTAGTTCTCAAGATAAACATAATTCAGTGTCAAAACAAAAATTAAAAGGCTTTACAAGCTATAAAAATTATGGTTAATTCATAAAATACCCATGTTTTCCGTTTGAAATTTTGTTATTTATGGTTCCGTATTTTACTTAAGCCCCTGAATATCCGTCATTATTCTTGAAGAATTTTTCGATTCTTGCAAATATAAGGGATATCACCATTTGACAAGTCTCTTCAGGTATGTTATAGCATAACATTGACAATAGCTGCCCTATATTAATTATGAATTGAATATCTTTATAACGGCTAGAATGTTGGCTAGAGTCCTGCTTGCTATAAAAGTCCTTCTCTGAAACAGTCGTTTAACTATAATAAACTGTATCATATGAAAGGTATTATGGGGCATTGAAAACATTTATAAATAATTATAAATACGAGATGGAGTTATTTAGAACTATAAACTACGCAAGAGCTGAAGCAGAGGCCACAGTTAAAATATAAAATAGATACCCTCAAAAACACAGTCATGGCAATGCACACTCTAGCTAATCAGATACTCTACTATACGAGTACATAGCCCCCCTCGTAATGTAGCTTGACTCCCTCATTGCGATCTAGAGGCTTGACACAGCACGCTGCTCGACTGATAAGAATTAAAACAAAGGCCAACAAGCTTGACATGCGACGGATTGTTCTTTTTGTTGAACGTAGAAAAGCAGAGACATTTTTATTATTTTGCGCTCACTCCACTCATCGAAGCAAAGAAGAAAACAAACATGCAATGGACGATAAGCAGAATAGATGCTCGCCCGTTCGCTCACTGCCACCAGTAGTAGCTGGGCAGCTGGGTGCCGCCTAAAATGAAATATCGGCCGAGCAGCAGATCGAACTCGTGGATCAGAGAACTATTGGCACGAGGCGGATTCATGGAGGCGTATGTGGTGACCGTATCCGGCGACAAGCACTTGTCAATGAAACGCGTCTTGCCCTCCATGCAACGGCAGCGTCCCTTAGCGCTGCAGAAGCCCTGCTCGCATCGCTGGTAGCTATCGAATCGTCCTGGCAGAAGCGCACAGCCGCACAGATTCGGCGCAATGCATTTGCCATAGAAGCCGCAGCCGCGCTCGCAAACGGCCTCACATTTGGGACCATTGCGCACATAGCCATTGAAACAGCGACAAATGCCGGGCGATATGCAAACCCCGTTCTCACAATCCTCCCCGCAATCTGGCAGACACGTTGTGGTGTTCATGTCGTAGCGATAACCATTCTGGCACACGCAGGTGGTGCTGTTGGCGCAGAAGCCGTTCTCGCAGCGCCTATAAAAGGAAGAAAATGTATTTACTTAAGTTGAATAGTTCAGAAAATGAAACTAATAAGCTGAAAGCACCTCAAGCATTTAAATAAGTCATCAAATTTCCTGAAAGGTAATATCGAAGCCAGTTTGCTGGATGTTATTTTTTTTTTTGTTAATTTATGATTTGCATACAAATCTGTTATAGTTTATAAATGGGCCTCCCAATAGTTTGTTGTGGGAGAAAACCAACAAAGAATATGTAAATAAGTTCAATAGTTTAGAAAATGAAAAAAGGAAATTAATATACTTATGTATAATTGTTATTACTTTTGAATGAACCAACACAATTCGTAATACAAATTATTTGCCTCTAAGAATATACTTTCGAAGGTACTGTGCTTATTTTACTGAAGTATGTCAACGACTAGCTTGCTTGAAAAGTGCTTATCTAATTCGTTTCTAAGCTATGTGCTGTACAATTATTATTGTTAATATTTTTTAAACAGAGTTTTATACGCCATAAAATTTGTTTCGAACTGTTAAGGCGACTTAAGCAGCTGCTCTTATTTTTAATAGTTTACTAGCGTACTGGGCTTGCGTTGCGTTCTCAACACAACTTGGATTTATCGTTTGATAATTGTATTTTATGTATTAATTATTATTGCTTTTATAGTATGCTCTGATAGATATTCTTATTGGTCGGCTGTAAACTGAATTGAAACAATAGGAAAATGAAATTAAAATCGTTGAAATCCATTAAGGTAGTAACTTATAGGAAATATCAAAATTCTTGAAAAACAATTAGAAAAAACAAGAAGAAAATTCCGTTTTCACAATCGCCACAAAACTTCACAGAATGAGCCATGGGACTAATTTGAATACCGCCACAAAATTTAATCAAAATCAGTTGAGCGGTTTCTGAGTTTATACTTCAATTTTCATTAATTTTTTTACTATAAATTATGTGATTACTAATTTTTATATGATGCTAAAACCATAATTAATGGCATTAAATGTTTATTGAAATATTAGATACTTATTATTGAGGCTGTTAAACGTGGGAAAGAATCTATGAATAATTGTCCCTAAAAATATATAAGTAGCTGAATAAATTTGGCATAATTCTAGCCACAATGGAGGAAAAACAGCCAATGATATGGAAAAGGGCACTCTTCTTTTTTACGGAAACATTTTGTGCAGGCACTTATTAAACAAAGGATATAGATTTGTAGTGGCAGTATTGATAATCTTGATATTACTCTAAAAAATTAGGAAAAGCGTGTGCCAAGAATGAAGAGCCAAAGCCATTCTCTTCTGTACGAGTCCTCACACTTATGCTTTGATTGAGATGCTGTTAGCTGGCAATTGAATTTAAAACCAGTGGCTAGCGCGGTAATTACATTCTATTATTACCTAAGCGGTTTGATTAAAAGTAATTTAGATTTGCTAAGGCAACATAATTATATGGAGATATAAGCAAACATGAGATGTAATGGTTTCTCTGCACTTACATGTAGCAAGCGCTTTGGCAGGAGGTGCCGTTGATGCGCTTCTCGTATCCTGGAAAGCACTCGCACTGGTTGGGTCCCACGCAGTGGCCGTAGCCGCAGTCCGGGATGCAAATGGGCTGGCAGCCCAGGGCCGTAGAGTCACGCAGGCCGCGGGCATAGCCCTCGGCACAAACGCACTTGCCCGGCGCGTCGCACACTTCGTTGTGGCCACAGGTCTGATTGCATTGCGGCTGGCAGAATTTTCGCGAGCCATCCAGCTCGTAGCCCCGCTGACACACACAGGTGCCATTGAGATAGCACTGGCCGTGTGGACAGCCCAGGGGACAGGTGGGGACACACACATTGCGATGATTGAGCACGAACTCATCGAAGCACTGGCAGCGACCTCCGGGCAGGCAGAATCCGTGCTCGTGGCACTTGTCGCCACAGTCCGGAACACATCTGGACCAGTCGTACTCGTAGCGCTGCCAGCCCTTGCAGCACACCTCGATCACATTAAAGCCGGGATTAATGGTGCTGTTGCCCACAATTTTCACGTCCTTGTCGTACTGAAAGAAGACAGCGCTGGGCAGAGCGCACCAGCGATCATTAAACGACCTAATGGCCCGCCAACTTGCAACCCAACTTACGGCACTTCCCGCCAGCACTTGGGCGGATATATGCCACGCATCGGCACCGCCAGCCCGCCCGTCCGTCTCAGCGGACGTCGCGTGGTTGTTGTGGTTGTGTGGCGCCTCTGGTAGTTGTGCAGCTGTTGCTGATGCTGCTGATGCTGCAACTGTTGTTGCTGCAGCAGGTATTGCTGCTCCAGCTGCTGCTGCAACTGCTGCTCGTGCAGCTGCAACTCCAGCGCCTCAGTCCGCAGCTGACGCGCCAAACAGAGCCAGAGGACCAGCAGAGCAGTCTGTCTGACCAATGACCTCAATAGCGCTGACATGGTAGCGATTCAATGGCGTTATAGTCACTGTTCGGTGGCAGTAGCTTCGACAACCACAGCGCCCAAGTCTCATTTGTTTACTGCATGGGTCTCTTCGGTCTCCCGCCCTTCCATACATTCACACACATTCATCTTTTAATCTCATTACCAGCGACCCACTCGAGGCTGATAAGCGGGCCCCGGGGTGCCAAGACTTAACATGGCTTAACCCATTATATTCTGAAGTTGCCAGCAAAACATTTGTAATTCTGGTAGGTTATTCAAATGTAGCAATTTATGTAACTATTTATATGAACTCTTCTATTATGGCGGTCTTCTATATTACTACCTTCTCAGCTATCAGTAGCTAGTTTTCTTCAATCACTAAATTTCTTCCTACACTAGCTATTACTTTATCGATAAATAAATGTAAAAACAAATTAAGATACAGGATTAAGGACTGGGTTTCTAGATTGTACTTTTATTTTATTTTATCGACAAATAAAGCTGTCGATGAGAAAAGAAATCAAAGCAATAGGGTACTAATACTTCAATAAATAAATATTCTAAATAAAACTAAAGAATAAAAAAGTTTAGAAATTACAAAAATATAAGGAAACCGATTCTATTTTTTTATTAAATATAAGTAGAAAAAAAAAGTTTTTTCAAACTGCCAGCAGAGCGCAGTCAGAGACATAATTAGACTTAACAAAAAAGAAATGGAAATCAAATCAAAATCTAGCAAAATTCAATTAAAATAATAATAAACTAACATTAAAATAATTAAATAAAAAAAGATTAAATATAATTAAAAGCTAAAAGTTGGCTACGAACCTATTAAGTTTGTATAATAGAGAGCTGATTGTAAGTCTATTGCTTATTATTAGGCCTGATCTGATGATAGATCCCCATAATCTCTGCATTGATTGCAAAGAAATATTCTGTGAAATTGTTTTTAATACCAAATTTTTATTTGAATGAGCAACGTTTCAAAGGGTCCTGAACATAAATCCTCTATATCCCTGTTTATGATTTTATTGCTTATTATAAGGCCTGATCTGATTGGAGATCCCTTTCATCTAATCTGCAAAGAAATATTCTCGAAAACTCCACCATTCTGTAAAATTGTTGTTAATAATAATAATAAAAAATTTTTATTCGAATGAGCAACATTTCAAAAGGCCCTGGACATAAATCCTCTATTATTTTATTGCTTATTATTAGACCTGATTTTAGCGGAGATCCCTGTAATCAATGCATTGATTGCAAAGAAATATTTTGTGAAATTGTTGTTAATAATAATAATAATAAATTTGTATTTGAATGAGCAACGTTTCAAGGGGTCCTGAACATAAATCCTCTATATCCCTGTTTATTACTTTATTGCTTATTATAACGCCTCCTCTGATCGAATATCCCTTAAATCTCTGCATTGATTGCAACGAAATATTCTCTAAAATTGATTTAAATAACAAACTTTAATTTAAATGAGCAATACTTTCAATTCTATTCTATTCTCTATTTTATTGCTCATTATTAATCCTGATCTGATCTTAGAAAGAAAAGGAATATTCTCTAAAACTCCAGCGATATAATTTCTCCATATACCAGTATATTATTTGCTATTTGGGTTAAAAAACGGCTTCATGCGCAAAGATTTCACAATTCCAATCGAAAAGTTTCAAGAAACAGAGGCACACTGATTACAACGCCAGCAACATGCCCGAAAATCCGAGACGTAGCGCTGCCCAGCCCAGACTTGAATAAAAAAAACACAAACAACTGATAAGTCGGAATTACTGGGCCACTGGAACGCGAATGCTTGGCATGCGAATTGTGAGAGTTCAGTTAGAATTTAGCGGGCGCACAAAATGCTCCACGAATGCAATTCGGGCTACCTGCTGGTTCTGGTTCTCGCCCTGCTCTACTTCAGCGCGAGTGGGAATTTGGGAAACTGGGAGCCGAGGGAATATGGAACGCCCACGCGCTACGATTTCGCTAATCAGCAGCAGCAACAACGACAACAGCAATATGAGCAACGAGGTCGCTATGGCGCCCAAAACAGACCTTACCAGCAACAACAACAACAACAACAACAGCAGCAGCAGCAGCAGAGACAGCCGCCACTATATAATCGCGTAGCGTCCGGCGGAATGAACTACGAGAGTACCGAGGAGCTCGTAGTGGATCGCAAATATCGACGGCGCGAGCACGAAACCATCTCGAATCGGGAGCAGCACAAATGTCGCATCTGGATACCGTGAGTTAATGCAAAGTGTAGTGTAGGGTATCTGTAGATACAACTCATCTAGTTGAGGCAAATAATTTAGATGAGAATATTACGGAAGCAGGCCTGAAGCCTGAAGAAAAAAGAAAAAGCACATCCTATAAATAACTTTTAAAACTGCCCTCGATTTGGTTTTGTTTTCTAAATATTAACCAATTAATTAAACAAATTTGCTTTGGAGTTCCTGACAAACGAAAAGGCAATAGCACAAATATTAGTATATATAGTATATATAATAGTACATCTAGTAGTTAGTATAAACCTTTTATATATTATAAACATTTCTACAGATATTTGCAAAAAGCGCTGAAATAAGACGGGTTGAAAAATTTCGAATTTTTAAGCACGCATATTAGCATTTAATATTTGTTTTAAAAAATTGCAAAACTTATCTTTCAAATGGAATAAATGCCGGGAGGAACGACAAGACTAAAACAACAGAGAATATATAAAATAATATAAGAAATATAAAATAATATAAAAAGGAAGGAAAAGAGAAATCTAAAATCGTGTTATAAAGAGGCTACATTCAGGTTTGGGATAAACTTGCTATGTGTATGAATAATACGAGTTTAAATAATAAGTTTAGTACACCTAGTTGTTAGGGCTCGAAAGTTATTGGACGATCGGAGGAACAGACATGCCTATATGGTCTCATTTAGATTCTTTGCTATACCTTCCAGCACAGGAAAAACAAGGATATTGATTCGTTTAGTGATTCAGTGATGTGTTTTCCTTTGAAAAATGGTATTTCAAAATAAAAAGTTATTAAAACTATTTGTAATATATGTATATAATACAAATGATTCTGTTTTTACACGGTTTTGATTTAACACGGTTTGAAAATTAAAAATGTTATTTATGGTACAGGACTTTATTCCATTTAGCAATGTCTTTTCTTACACGGTTTTTCTAAACTACCTTGTAAAAATAGAATTGGGTGTATAATATGTATATATATTTCTAATTTAATGATTAATGATTACCCAAAAAAACGCTATGAACAAACCATTCACACATATTTTGTTAAAATATAGGAAGCTATTCACATGTACACCAGATATGCCATAAGTATTTAACTAGAATTTTGATGCCCTTTAGTTGGTGGTATGAAACGAAATGTTTCCAAACTCCCTTTGAATTTCCATTTATATTTATTTATTTATTTTTTTTTATTTATTTATAACCCTTATCCTAGCGTTACAAGTATTGGATTACTTTTAAATTATTATAGTTGTTATAGTTGTCGTTTGTGGAGTGTTTGCAGTTGAATTCTATTTTTTTAGTCTTCTTAATATCCTTTGCTTTGTTTTTAGATGGCCAATAAATTTTTTTCTTTTCTCCTTTTTTCACTCTGAAGTAATTCTAAGCTTGTTCTCACTGTTAAGTATTTCTTTATTATATTGGTATATAATATTTAACTAGAATTTTGATGCCCTTTATTTGGTGGAACTTGGTGCAATGATATCTGGATAGTGAGAAAAGGAAATGTTTTCAAACCTTCCATTTATATAAACGGATATTATTAAATAGAGCCTTATAGTTGTCGTTTGTGAAGTGTTCAATTATATTTTCTTAGTCTTCTTAATGTCCTTTGCTTTGTTTTTAGATGGCCAATAAATTTTTTTCTCTTTCTCTTTCTAAGCTTGTTCTCCCTGTTAAGTTTTTCTTTTTTATATCGGTAGATCTATTGCCGCCTCTGACCACACTTGGCTCTGAGTCGGGGAGCAGCTAGCCGAAGGGTAAATAATATTCCCCCACCGGGTTGGAGACATTAATTAGATATGGTTGTAATTTGATTAGACTTCTTCTTCTTAGGCTTTTCTAGCTTACTTATAAGATGCTTTCTATAATTTTTATAGCTGAAGGCCATAATCTCTCTGTTAGCTTTAAGATTTTGATTTTAAGCTAGCAATTTATAAATAAATAAATAAATGTTATATATTTTCCACCTATGTCATATGTTTGTTGACATAAATAAATAAATAATGAAAATAAGCCCCATTAAATATCTCCCCTTCCTACTTTACTTGTGCAGCACCGAAACGGTGGGGAAATACGAGCACGCCAGTGTCATCCAGACGGATCAGGCGAACCAGCTGACTTCAATAGAGCTGTGCTGCACGGGCTACAGTGCCACACGGCTGCGGGGCGTGACGGTCTGTCGTCCGATCTGTGGCTGTGTGAATGGCGGATGCAGCAAGCCCGGGGAGTGCGACTGCTACGAGGGCTTCGTGAAGAACGACAATGGCGACTGCGTGTTCGCGTGTCCTTTGGGCTGCCAGAACGGACGCTGCTATCTGGACGGCAGCTGCGAATGCGATCCGGGATACAAGCTGGATGAGACGCGCAGCTTCTGCAGACCCATCTGCAGTGGCGGCTGCGGCAACAATGTGCGCCACAACTGCACCGAGCCGGAGGTCTGTAGTTGCGCCAAGGGCTATCAGCTGACCGATGAGGGCTGCCAGCCAGTTTGCGACCCGGACTGCGGCATTGGCGGGCTGTGTCGGGACAACAACGAGTGCGATTGCGGACCCGGCTATGTGCTGAAGGACGGTGTCTGCCAATTCGACTGTTACCAGTGAGTACTTGACAGAGGAAGTGTCCTTCAAAAGATTACAAGCCACTCTATCCTTGCAGGAAATGCAATAACGGCGTCTGTGTTAGCCGCAATCGTTGTATATGTGATCCCGGCTTTACTTACCATGAGCGCTCAACGATGTGTGTCCCGCTGTAGCAGAGCGGTTATCAAATAAAAAATCAATAGGAATCTTCATAAATACTTGTATGTTCACGATTTACAAAAGCTTTTATTTTTTGTAGCTCATCTACAAATCGACCTTTAGTTGCTAACTATAGCTAACAAATTCTGCAGAGAATAGCTTAACAGCTGATGGTGAACTACGACTAATGAGAGAGTCTTCTGTACCTGCCAGAAATCGAGAAATAGTGCTAATTTATTTTTATCGCAATCAAGCACAATTTCTAGTTCAGTGTTTATTTTGCAATTCTCTAAAAAAGTTATAAGCCAAGAACATTTCGAGCCTCGCCGATTTATGTTAAACGAACTATTAAGGCACAACAATTCTACAAACATGATTCAATCTATTAAAAAAAATTTAAGCTAAAATACAAAAAATTTAATTAAAAATAAATTTAAAATTTTTTATTGATATTTTTTAGTTTCCTCACATTCAAAACCAAAACCTAGCAGAAGGGCTGTACATAGCAAGCAAAGGTTATTGCGAATATATATTTTTTATAGTTTATTTAAATAGACCTTGTAAAACTAACAAATTTTCCAGACAACAAATAATAAATAAACGGGGAGAATTGCGCAATCAAATCATTTGTTGAGCCCCGACGATTTATGTTGAACAAACTATTAAAGCACAATACGATGCTCAAAATCTTTAATTGAATTCTTCACAATTGATTCCAAGTATTTAACATTTAAAAACTGGTAAATATAATATTTTTATTTTCAAAATATTGATATTTTTTCCTTGCATACAGAGAACAGCAGGATGATCAAAATTTTTAGTTGAATTCCTCATCATTATTTCGAAGTATTTAACATTTTAAAACTGATAAATAAAATAGGAATCTGCACAACTATGTTCATAATTTACAAATATATATATTTTTGATAGTTTATCTAGAAATAGACCTAACAAATTCTCCAGAGACCAGCCCAAGAGCTGATAGTGGAGTACTGATATGGAGAAAGTCTTCTACAAGTATGCTTGCCAGAAATTGAGAAATGGAATTCTTTGCAGTCAACCCATTTATTGAGCCTCAACGATTTATATTAAACGAACTTTTAAAGCACAACAGGATACTCAACATTTTTAATTGAATTCCTCACCATTGTTCCCAAGTAATCAACATTTTATTTGTAAAATAGTGTTATTTTTGATTCTCCTTACATACAATGAATAGATGGCTTTAAAGGTCCTCCTCGAAACTTTCACTTAAGAGCCCTGGGGAGGAGTAACTGCCACGTGCCGCATTCTGGCGCTTGTGTCTGAGGTAGAGGAGAGTGCTGCCCACGACGGCCATCACCAGCAGAGAAGCCACCAAACACCAGCCCAAAATTGTTGGCCACTTGGTGCCAACTTTGTCGGCATGTAGTTCAGCCTTTCCCTGGGATGGATCTGTGGCTGGGCTGGGTTTTGAAGGAGCCTTTGTGCAAACAAAGCGGATCTCATCGGACTCGGCAGAATCGGAATTGATTTCGCCAGAGACGGGACTGGTGCCATTGCAAATCAAATCACTCGACGGATTGCAGCGACAGTAGGATAAATCTAAGCAGGATGTCTTCAAGCCATTTATGCAAAGCTTTGTGCAGCTAGACGAGCTCAAAGGACCCAATTCATCGTATTCCTTCCAGCATTCACACTTGTTGGCGCACAAAGAAACTGCTTGGCTGATGGCAAAGTCCAACTCGAGTATTTTTCGGGGCACAGCTCCAGCTCTTGTGGTCGGTTTCACTTTTTCTGTTGTAGTTGCCGAAGGGGACTCTGTTCTCCACGGCACGAAACGGACTGTTGTTGACGTTGTCCCGATTGTTGCTGTTGCTGTTGTTGTTAAAGGGACCGCTGCTAGAAGTGAGTCTGAGTTGTTGCTGATAAGTTGGCAGCCTTCCGCAGATGCCACATCCTTTGTGGCATACCCTGCAATGCACTCACAAACTCCATTGCCTGTACAATGGCTATTTGCCCCGCAAGCGGACAAACAAATGCGCTGGCAGGCTCCAAACTGATTTTTTTCATAGCCGGCATCGCATTCACAATGCCCGGGACTGGAGCAGTGGCCGTGATCGCCGCAATACATAATGCATTTGGGCAAACAGTCAGTGCTCCAATGGGCCTTCAGATAACCCTCATCGCAGACACAGACTCCGGGGGCCGTGCAATGACTGTGCTTCCCGCAGTTCGTACATCTGGGCTGGCATAACTCGTGATCGTCCAAGTAGTAGCCTTCCTGGCAGAGGCAGGTATTGGGTGCGCCACAATGCGTGTTTGGGGGACATCTTGACTCACATGTGGGCTGACAGGACGCGTTGGCTACCTTTGCATAGCCTGGCTGGCATCTACACTCCTCGGGCTGGGCGCAAAACGAATGAGCTCCACACTCTTCGCTGCACTTCGGCACACACTGATTATTATCCTTTACCATATGGTAGCCCTCGTTGCAGGCACACACACCTGGCTTCTGGCAATAGCTGTTGCTCTCACATTGCTCGCACTGCGGCTCACAAACAGTTCCATTCCAACGATGTCCTTGCTCACAGTTGCAGGTGCCTGGCACGCTGCACAGACCAGTCGGACAGTCTGGGCTGCAGATGGGCTGACAATTGTCCACAGTTCCATTGTAGCCTGGACAGCAAACTGTTCTGTAAGTCCACCTAAAACCAATCTGTGGACGAAATAATTATAGCCCTCTCAATTGTATAACACGTGATGAAATTTGCCATGAATAGCAGTAGACTTCTTATTTCAATCTGCTGTAAATGGGAATTGTATTCCTGTCCTTAATTTGAAATAGAAATTCGAATTATCGCAGTACTCTACCTCAAGACCTCTTCAAAAAATGGTTTCTCAATTAGCTTTCCAAGTGGAAAATTCATTCAGATCAAAACCAATCTCTCAGTGAATTAATTAATCTTTGATTTTATGCAACTAATTTTAGGGTAAGTAAGGGATTATATTTAATGCATGGACATGGTATAAGTGGATAAAAGTTTTTGTAATTTCTCGTATTATTCTTCCTGTAGTTTTTATTTTCAGTTTACACTGCGAGAGACTGTTAAAACATTATTGGAAACAAGCTAAATTTTATTTTCTCTCTGGCTTTCAACAATATTATTCCACCTTGTGCGACAGCTATATGATATAGTGATCTGATATGGTCGGTCTGTCGGCTATAATAGTTGAGGATATAGCAATTGAACGGACCTCGCAACTTATCGGCAATCTGGCCATATATTCGTATATCCCATAACGTGTAGTCTATCATTATTTTAAACCACAAAAAAATATATATCTATATATAAATATATACAGCAAATGAAGGTAACTACTTTAGGGAGACGACTACTGAAAAAGATCCAAAGGACAACTGATTTTGGATTGCTACAGTGTGGCAAAAACTAAAATATATTCGTGAGAATAAAAAATTCATGAAATCGGAAAATCTAATGACTTTAGCTTTGGATGTGAAACTGATAATCGCGATGTTAGCTTGTCCCAAAACATTATCTCATTAGTGTTGGTCGTTCTTTTGCAATATTATATAAAGTAATATAAAGAGCTACCTGACGTAAAGTTCCAATATAATTATATTTCTAAAACACATCTCAAGAAATGGAACCAGACGCAGTTCCAATATAAATATGTTTCTAGAATACATCTCAAGAAATGGAACCAGACGCAGTTCCAATAGAAATATGTTTCTAGAATACATCTCAAGAAATGGAACCAGGCTATGATGACAACTGACCAACATTTTCAAATAATCATAAACTGGACGACTTTACAAAGGACATGCCTAGGCGGAAAACTAAAGTACAATTTACCAAACTTTTGGGACACATAACAGGCTATTCACTCTTACCAGAGAATAGCTATTTCATCTATTACCATATCATAACAGAATTGCTATAGAATTATAGTAGTTTCTGGCTGTGTAGAGGACATGCAAGGTCCAGTTCGAACCCTTCTATTGTATCCGGCCTCTCCAATGCACTGCTATTCACGTCTTATTTGTAGAGCTTAATGGGTTTAATTTACCTCCGGAACTTTGAACTTCACTACACGAGTGTCTAGATGTTGATGGAGCAACCCATTCACTCCTCTGACCATCACCATTTTGGTTCTCTCAACAAGTTTCATGTACGTCACTTGCATGGGTTTCGGGCAAATCCGTTGTCCATATGCGCTGGCCACTATCCAACTGCAGAGAAGGAGGCATTTCCAAAAATTTCGTGCCATATTAGTGTGCCGTTAATATGGGAAGCTGAGTATATTGCAATCGCTATCCGCTTGATGCTACTATTCGCACATTAGAAGCTCGACTGGCGAGCGTTCTGTGGTAAAAGTTGAGAAATTGCTGATATCATGCATCCGTTTACTGTAGATATGAATAAGCTGAGCGTCATTGTAAGCTCTTGACACTGTGGATTGGACAAAAAACATAAAAACTATAATTCTACTTTTATATCCATACTGCATTTAAAATTGGAACTGGGGAGTTTTGGAGAATCAGTTGAGAAGCACTTTGTTTTCACTCGTTTTAATTCAAATATGTATATTAAAGCACAGATGAATGTTCACATTTCAAATAACTTGACCACAATGAAGTGGAAATTGGCAGTTGAAAGGCTTTTTTAAGAAGTGATTTGATTCTGGAAAAGATTCTGCAAGATCCAGATTTGATTCTATATCCAATTATGTACGTGCCTTTTTATTTTTAGTTTATAGCAATTACTCACTATGTTTATGCCTTTGTTTGAACAACTCAAAAAAAAACCACAACTTACGTCATAGCATTATGAAGGCGTATGGCTAGTCGTTAACTATCTTATCATGCCGTTAAATGAGTGTACTTTTTATCACAATATGAATATTTAGCTTAAATGTACGCTACACATTGTTTTCTGAAAAACTCGAAACAGTTTTTGAACTCAAAAAGCTGCTGTACAAAGCTACATCCTTTCTGGGAATCAACGTTATTCCGGTGCAGTAAACAATCTTTTCTTTCAGGCACATATACGGATCCTCTCTTCATACGCAATACCTTGTACCCAAAGGGTAAAAGAGTATACTAGTTTCGTGCGAAGGTATGTAACACACAGAAGGAGGCGTGGCAGACACCACAAAGTATATATATTCGTAATCAAGATGACAGGACCAGTCGATCTGGCCATGTTCGTCAGTCTGACTGTCTGTATGGACACAAGGATCTCGGAAAGAATAAGAATCTCCTAAGTTCGAGAAAGTACGAGTTTCAGTTTTTTTTTTTCGATGCAAAAGGGTATCAAATGGGGCAGACGAAATCATTGTTCTTGGAAAAACACAACATCAAGGGCATTCCGGCGATTAGCCAACGACAGAATCAATCTTCGGAGCAGAAGTCGGATTGATTTGAATGTCAAACGAAAGTTCAAGACACGAGGTGCAAAACCAAGGAATTGCCTTTCTTATAATAGTAAAATTAATTATTATAATAATAATAATATTTATATGGATGTATTTATTTATATCTATATGTATTTATTATAATTGATGTCCTTTTTGAAGTTACGACAGCTCGCCAAATGAGCAAAGTGAGAATGGCAAACGAAAGTTTCAGCCACGAGAAGCAGAACGAAGGAAATAATTATAATTATTATATTATAATAATATTTATTATAATAATAATGATGGATGTCCTTTTTGATGTTCCGACAGCTCTCTAAATGAGCAAATGAGAATGAAAAAAGATAGTATAAGCCCCGAAATAATTATAATATTATATTATAATATAAATATTTCTAATATTAATATTTTTAATATAAATATTTATAATATTAATAATGAGGGATGTCCTTTTTGAAGTTCCGACAGCTCGCCAAGTGAGAATGGCAAACAAAAGTTTAAGCGACAAGGAGCAAAACGAAGGAATTAATTATTTTATAATATAAATAAAAATAGTTATAATAATATTTATAATAACAATAATAAGGGATGTCCTTTTTGAAGTTCCGACAGCTCGCCAAATGAGCAAAGTGAGAATGGCAAATAAAAGTTTAAGCCACCAGGAGCAAAACGAAGAAATTGATTCTAAGTATTATAATAATAATAATTAGAATAAAAATATTGATGGATGTCCTTTTACATTTTATTTCCTATCCTTTATTTTTTCTTTGCATGTATCCAATTTACATTAAGAACCATAATTATTAATTTATTAAATTTGTAAGTAAAAGAAAATAAAAATGATTTTAAACAAATTTTAAAAGGATTTTGTAATAGTCTGGTGGGTGAGGGGGTGAAGAGGGCGGTTATGTTTAGTTTGTCGATGGCCAAAGTGGCTGCGGTTGCTAAAAACCAAAATCTGCAGTACCAGGCGAACAGAAACCAGCAGTAAGATGATTTTCATTAAAATTTAAAAATAAAATAAGCCGGGTTTCAAACCACTTTGCAGCCGGGCTTCAAACCAATTGCAAATGTAAGCCAGTCTTCAAACCATTGTGGCAGTGACTTTCAAACCCATTTGGCAGCCGGGCTTTAAACCATTTGGCAGCACGTGGTTTGAAACCTGGCTTACATTTATTTTTAATTTTTTTTTTAAATTATCTTGCTGCTGCATTATGTTCGCCTGGTACTTAGAAAAAGTGCCAGTTTGCAAACTAAGCACAGGACAACTGCGGCTTTCCCAAAATGTACAGAATCGCCTGCAAATGCTAAAATCCAAAATCTGAGGTACTAGGCGAACATAAACCAGCAGCAAGAGGCAGTTTTTTTTTAAATTAAAAATTTAATTCTGCGCCTGTATGATATGCTACGCCTTTTCTAACGGCAGCCGGTTCCAAACCGGGTTTTAAACCAATTAATTATTAAATAAATAAATAGATAAATCGTTGCAGCGACTCAACTGGACACAATTGGTGTAAATAAAAAAGGACACTTTTAAGGAGTTGCTGCTGATTTATGTTTGCCTGAAGTTAAAGGATCAGATCCTGCTTACTGCAGCAAATTAATAATAAAAAGAAAGGTTGTTGTATTTTAAAAGTTGTTTTATTTGAAATTAAAAAAACTGTATAAAATATTTGCCTTATGGTAAGTGACAATTTAAAAATAAAGGATAAACACAGCTCCTTTTACAAAAAGAAGAATAAGCGATAAACATAAACAAATAATTTTTTGGTTGTTTGTTATATCAATAAATTTCTTATTTGTTAACAAATTAAAATAACAATTTTTTTTGTAGTTATATATTTTATAATAAAAGTAATAATTCATTTATTATTACTTAAAATTTATTTCATTCTATAATTAATCATTATCAATAAAGTTCTTATTTGTATACAAATTAAAATAAAATTTACAAAATTACATTACAAAATCCCATCTAGGCAAAATTCGAATTCTGCAAGCCAGAACATTAAGCTTGTTGACTGGTACATGAGATCCGTTAATATCGCAAAGGACCAAGGAGGCGGCTACGGGTCGGCTACGGGCCCATGAAGATGTCTTACCATGGCGTGTGAGGAGGAGACTGAAGATGTCACATCTGGTCGACCTTGCCATTCAATTTTTATGCACTATAAGAATATAAAATTAATTAATTAATTACATAAGCTTATTTTTAAATGAAAGCATTACAATTAATTAACAATAAATAAATATATTTTTAAAAAATCCCATATCGCTTTTGTTTCTTAATAGCTCTGGGAGTTTTGTATTTAAGTGCCGGTCCGCACGACTCTAACATTCCGTTTTTCCAGGGACCGCAAATAATGATTACTTGCTTTTTCTTTCAAATGAAAAGATTTACCAATATCCCTTTTAAAGGATTATTTATGCATTTCCACCATGATTCACAAATATTAATTTTTATTACGTCTCTCAAAATTTAATGAGTTATTTTGAATTTTTTTTTACATCTTAATTAATGAAAATCGAAACTAATGATTATTCTTTGAGTTTTATTTTTGATAACAAAAATTATCGTTATTTTCGATAAAAAAAAAAAAAAAAAAAAAAAAAAAAATAAAACTCAAGCTGTATTTTTGCGTGAAAATATTTTTTTAAGAATATATATATAAATGTTGTCGTTATTCCCTATAAAAAAGGCAGGGATTTTCCAGCTTGAGATTTATTTTTGATTAAAAAAATTAAACTTTAAGAATAATCATAAATGAGTTATATTAAATTAAATTTGATTAGTAAAACTGAAAATAAATCTTTATATTTGCAGCGAATGAATAAAATTAAACAATAAATTTTATTGTAGCGTTCTCTCTTGTTTTCAAAAATTTGATTACAATTATAAATGCGGGTTTGTTGTGTGAATCAGCCAACGGGGTTTCTACTATTTGAAGCTTTCAATATAAAGACTAATGTTTAGTAATCGATAAAATAAAAAAACAAGTGGTAGCCATCACACAATACTTATTGTGTGTATTTTTAATTTCATAATTTATTAAAATAGATTTATTTTACATGACAATTATTAATAATCCTTCTTTTTGCAAAAAATACTAGGAGATGAATTTATAATTGTAACGAGCTCTTAAACTAATTAATATTCCATAAAAATAAAGCTGTAAACTTTGTATGATGATACATGCATAATTATTTGTGCTTGCATTCGGGTTGTTCTGATGATTTGTCTATTAAGAGTTGTCTATTAAGAGTTGTCTATTAAGAGTTGTCTATTAAGAGTTCTCTTTTAAGAGTTGTCTATTAAGAGTTCTCTTTTGAGAGTTGTCTATTAAGAGTTCTCTTTTGAGAGTTGTCTATTGGGAGCTGTCTATTAAGATTAAATTTCAACAATCTTTCCATTACTAACATACTCGACGTTCTTATGATATCCCCAACCGACAGGTTAAAAGGAGGCGTGGCAGAGTCCCACAAAGTGACTAATATAATTTTTTTTAAATGAACTTAAAGATTTTCAATTTCACTGTCCTCCTCAGGTCCCAGGTGCCAACTAGCTTGTGGATAATACGCGTTTGCCCGCTTTCTTCGATTAGCGATAAGGGAATAAATGAAATATAGAATTATTGCAAGCACGACAAAAGCTGCCATAAACACACCAAAGTTGTTTATCCCTACAGTTGCGACGCGAGAATCAAAAACATGCGATTCGCATACGTAGCGTATTTCATGGGCTTCGGAGGATAAATTGTAATCCTTTTGGATAGCCCGAGTACATTTTAATTGATGCGTCAATGGATCGCATCGGCAATTCGCCAACTTCAAGCAGTCCTTCTCGACGCCATTTGTGCAGAGAGTCAGGCATTTTGGTGGCCCTGGAGCCATCACATCATCGTCATAATCCTGCCAGCAAGTACAGTTTATAGTGCATTGAACATTTCTTGCTGTTGCTGATGTTGTTGTGCTGTTTGGAGTTGTCTTTGGAGTTGTTGTTGTGGTCGTTGGAGTCGTCTTTGGAGTTGTTGTTGTTGTGGTCGTTGTTGTTATGAGCTGGCATCTGGAAGTAGAGCTTTCAAATTTCGCATACCCCTCCCAGCAGTGGCAGTTGCCAGGCGATATGCAATCTCCAAATTGGCAGCCCTCGCAAATTGGCTTGCACGCAGTCCCGTTACGATCGCTTACATATTGGTAGCCCTCGTTGCATGTGCAATAATTCGGTGAACTGCAGGTGGCATTGATGCAAGTTTCGTGGCATCTGGGCTTGCAATTGTAAATCGTCTTATTCGCATCGACTTCTTCGTAGCCCTCTGCACATTTACATTGATTTGGACTAACACACGCGCTATTTAGTCCACATGTGGGATAATCGCAAATCGGTTTGCAGTCGCCTCGAACTGCTTTTGTACTTCGCGCATATCCAGGATTGCAGGGACATACATCCGGTTCCTTGCAGTAACTATTGTTCCCGCAGGCGGGCGAACAGACGGGTTGACAGGTTCCGTCATGGCCATCGGCATAACCCGATCCACATACGCACTCATCCGGCTCTGCACATGTAGAATGAGCTGGACAGCCCTTGCTGCATATAGGCTGACATTTGTGTTCTTGGGAGTCACGAGAGTATCCCGCGCAACAGGTGTGATATGGCTCTAATCTAGTTTTATTCTAATAAACAAGATTTCAACGACTAATAAATACTTTCCAGATTACTAAATGCTTACCACTATCTTTCCCGGGGAAAAAGGTAAACCAAAAAGATTACCAAATCTCTTCCCGGACATATCCATTTCGGTGTAGTAAACAATTTTACTTTCCAAGCACAGATTCGGATCTTTATCCACATTCGCCGTTACAAGTGGGAGGAAAAGAAACAAGATGATATTTACTGGAAGCATATTGAGTTTGTAACAAGGATAGACAAAATAATTTTAATGGAATGATCGATTCGTTATAGTTCCGTTAGCTGCGGAGGAAATCTGAAACTGAACTTAGTTCCGCACAATTTCACATATTTTATTCGAAGTCATGACTAAGAAAAAGTGCGGTTTGCATGAGCAAGGGTACAGATCCCATCAAAATATATACAGTCATGCAGTTTTCAGAATTCGTCATATTATTTCTAATTAATCTATTTTACTAAAGAACTATGGACTTAGCTCTTTAAAGATCGGGTTAAGCAGGTAATGAAAAACAAACAAGATAGAACGCTACAGTCGAGCAAGCCCGACAGTAAAATAGCTTGTACTCTCCACAAAAAGGAAAAATTAAAAAAAAAAAAATTAAAAAAAAATTAAATTATTAAAAAAAATGAATGAATTAATTAATTAAAATAATTAATTTAATTAAATTAGAATACATGTTTATGTTCAGTTTAAACAGCATACATTTACATCACGTACCTATGCGTGTTCATATGCGTGTATGTATGCAGCACAAAGTTGAACAAAAGCAGCAACAACAACAACAGCTGCGGGCAGCGCTGCCGACAGAGCTGCAGGCAGCGCATGAGCAGCGATTTTACTTATGGCTATAACTTTCTTCAGAATTGACCTATCATGATGAAATTTGGCACACGGACACATTAGTACTAACTGGATGTACCTACCAAAATTGATTTTTAAATTCCGAGAATTACGGAAGTTATAAGAAAAAATACGAATTGCGGGGGAGTGGGGGGGTGTATCAGAAAAAATAAACAAACTCGTTCTGCCTAGGGCTTATAGGAACCTTGATACCAATTTTGGTTATCCTAGCTCTTGTACTTACTGAGATCCTTGCGCTCATACAGACAGACGGACAGACGGACAGACGGTCAGACGGACAGACGGACAGACGGACATGGCTATATCGACTCGTCTTCTCATCCTGATCAAGAATATATATACTTTGTGGGGTCTGCCACGCCTCCTTCTGTGTGTTACATACATGCGCACAAAACTAGTATAGCCTTTCACCCTTTGGGTACAGGCTATAAAAAGAGATCAGATGTGGTACAGCATTTGCTTTAATTAGTTAATTACAGTAGATGGACCAGAGTTTAATGCTTGTTCTACTTTTTGAAAATATATTGCTTATTTTCTTTACTGCTGTAAAGAAATGCATTAGGATGTATTGTTTTCGGTGTGTACATACGTTTCTAATATCCAGAGAGCAGAATATTAATGTTAATGACAATACGAATCCAAATCTCAATGCCCATCCACCCGTTTGCCTTTTGCAATAATTATTCTTCCTACAACTTAGGGGCTCTTGTGCTGAAACTTTTCACCGAGGCGTCCATTTAACAAACACAGATAAAACGTCACAAGCTATCGCTATCATCCTAATGTAGATGTTGGAATACAAATCTGTGTGATTTAAATATTGCGCAGAGAGAAGAAGGAGATATATATATATATATATATATATATATATATATATAGAGAGAGAGAGAGATTACCGAATGAAGAGTTGGCTTAAGCTCACGTAAAATGTATCTACAGTCTTAGCTGTGTTTGAAAAATATACAAAAGATGTGCGAAAAGAACATGATGTCCACTATTCTGCTAAATATATTATCATTTATATGTAATTGCTTATTTCAAGTGTCAAAAATGTTCTTCAATAAAAATTATTCTCATAAAAGGTGTTCAAATTTTTAATAAACAAATAGTAGGAGAAGGGTTAAGTTATTTACTATTTAAGATAAAACTAGTATACCCTTTCATCCTTTGGGTGTAGGGTATAAAAGACTGCAGATACTTACGGAATAGCATGCCACAACCAAAGAATTCTAAGGGGATGCTTTAGTTAATTACGTGGTGATACAACGTTTTTAGTTTTCAGTTTTAAAAATAAACTTTTGAAAACTGCTATTATGCTGACAACTCAAATTGTTTATGTTGAAAGCTCATCTGGTTATTACTGATCAGATTTGTTGGCAATACATTCCATTTGTATTGATTGATAAGCAAAATCTGGAAAAGATTTAAACATTTCATGACCAAGGTCAAGGAACTCAGACGACTCGACTCATATCATACACGTACATAGGCACTCGCAGATCTGTTGCTGGCAGATTCTTAATACGCTGACGTCTCTTTGGGAGTGAGTTCAATAAACGACTCGCACACATGGACAGAAAGTGCGTAAATGTAAGAACAGAGTGCCTATCTTTCGCGTCTATATGGAAGACTATATACATATACTTGTATGACTTCTATATGTGTGCGCTCGCAGCATTGATAAGCCTCCTGTCTGCCGCATCTACCGCTTTTGATCGTTTGCTCGTTTACTTAAATGCAATTGCTCAAGCGATTGTCCACTTAATTGTAAATCCATCACTAAACAGTGTACAAATCAAGTGTCGGTGTTCGTTTTTGTGCAAATGTGGCGCCAGTTCGTGATATGCCTTGCAGGCCTTGCAATGATCCTGGCCTGTGTCGATCATGTGCCGTGAGTTATGAAAACTTTTTTACGGAATATTCGATAGTAGGATTTAAGCCTCCTCCTCCTCCTCCTCACCTATTTCATGTGCCCCGCAAAGTGTTATGAAGATGCGCGTAAATCTGGTGACAATGCGAAAATATCAGGGACTAGCTAATTGCACCACAGACTGTGGTCCACTGGTGGTGCGACCCAGAAGAGAGGTAAGAAAAATGCCCTATTTTCTCAATAGAGAGCATATTTATCTATTTCCAATACATCAGTGGCAAACGAAAATGTTCTAATTTGTTAAAATCCAATGTGAAATTCTTTTTCGATTATTTGTTTGTCATGGCAACATTTTCAATAATTTTAAATTTAATAATTTTAATTTAATCATTTTAAATTATACATACAATCTAGCGTGTAAAAACAGAATTAGGCGTAAATAATTCTCAACAAATGTTTTTATGAGAACAATTTGAATGTGACTCTTGATGTGATAACAAGATTCTAAATATTACATTGTTTTTTATAATGAATGAAGCATCGTTTCAACGCGTTTACAGAAATACTTTTTTCCAAAACTCGAAAAAGTTTTTAGCTTCATGTCTTTCCGGTCTAGAAGACGCTCGGTAATAACTATATTTCCCAAATTTGCACACATGATCAATGTTTTAAATTTGTAAGGTATGCCAAGAATCTCTCTCTCTAAGACAAAATGGTTTCCATTTTATATAGGCTATAAGAAGAGAGAAACCTAATGCAACTATCTGCTTTATTATTATTAATGCAGTACAAGCTCGTTAGCTGCAACCCTCGATACATGCGTCTTCTCGATTTTGAAAACTCCATGAAAACAGCTCTTCAAAGAAAATGTTCCCGGTAATTGCAACTTTAATTTAGCGTTGGTAAAAATTCATAACATTTAAACAATAAGGAGAAATTTTTAATAAATTAAAATTTAAAAGTATCGACAAAAGTTTTTGGTAATGAATTTAAGCTGCACAAGTCACCAATTACACGAATAAAAAATAAAAGAGATTAAATTTTCAAATTGTCCAGAAATATGAAATCTGGACCAGGGAAACGGCAAACTCTAAAATCTTCCGAATACCTAAAAATGGAAAACGCTCTCTGCAAATGGTTCTTGAAACAGAGTGTTCGTCAAACGCTAATTTTAATTGAAATAATCAAAATCATAAAAATAATCAAAATCATCAATCAAGATCATCGGATCAGTTGCTATAAAATCATTTGAAACTTGCATTCAATGGGCACAGGGAAATTGTATTTCGATAAAAGACATTAACGAGAAAATAATGCAGGCAGAAATAAAGGCCATGTTAAAACAAGAGGGAACGCTACAGTCGAGCAAGCCCGACAGTTAAATACCCTGTACTCAGACAAACTTCCGACACTTAGTTATATGTGTCTCTAGCAGAAACAAAAAGAAGAAGAAGAGCGTACTGAATGCTACAGCTTGGGGGCGCAGTACTGGAGTGAAATTGTTTCGCTAATAACTTTTCTTAGAATTGACCGACTTGGATGAAATTTAAATAAAAAGTAGCTAATTATTTATTAATTAAGTGTGTAGTTTGTTTTATGTATATTTGAAAATGTGGACAGTATTGGCGAAATTCTGCAGCGAGGAGAGGGGAGGGGAAATAAAAAAATAAATAAATAAACGTGTAGCTTAGGAGCTAGGAGCGTCTATATACGAAGTTTGGTTAACGTGCGATCAAGCGTTTTCGAAATCCAGGCATTCATCCAGACGGACGGACAAACAGACAGGCAGACGGGCGGAAATGTCTAGATCGATTTCTCTCGTCATGCTAATTAAGAATATATGTATATACTTTATGGGGTGCAGAGTATAAAAACAGATATTGCAATAACAATTAAAAAAGGACTTCATTTATCATTTAAATGCAACTACCCTGATTTCCTGTTGTATTACTAATAAGTTGTAACTATGGCTTAATCAGAAAGTTCACTAATTATTTGAAATACTCACCTGGACATGATTCTTGTTCCAATTAAGAATTTATATTACAGCTGCTCCTTTTTCATTTCGCAGACCTACATGTCCGTCGATGAGGTGTGCTGCGAGGGCTACGATCGCAACGAGAAAGAGTAAGTTTAAATGGAGCGAGCGTCTTCTCGAATAGTAATGCATTTTCCACCTGCAGCGAATGTGTGCCACAGTGTGGCGATTGCGGTGCCACTGGCCAGTGTCTCTCGCCACAGGTGTGTCTGTGTGGCAAAGGCTACAGCAATGTGCAGGATCGATCGCAGTGCCAACCAGTGTGCTCGGAGCCCTGCCTCAATGCGAACTGCAGTGCACCCGACGAGTGCAGATGCTGGGACGGCTATGGGTTCGTCAATGGCAGCCAGACGGCCTGTGAGCTGATGTGCAAGGTGGACTGCGAGAATGGACGGTGCCAGGAGCAGAACAAGTGCATCTGTAACTCGGGCTATGCTCGGGACGAGACGCTCAACAAGTGTGTGCCCGTCTGCAAGGATGCGTGCGAGAATGGAGTGTGCAGTGAGCCCAACCAGTGCAGCTGTAAGCCGGGCTACGAGCCAGATCTGACCACACAGAATCGCTGTGAACCCATATGCAGCAGTGGATGCGCGAATGCTGTGTGTGTGGCACCCGAACATTGTGTCTGCAAGTCGGGCTACGTCCAGGCGGAGACTGAAGCTTCCGCCGGCTGTGCGCCTGTGTGTAAGGAGGCGTGTATTAATGGCACCTGCACGGCGCCCAATCATTGCACTTGCGCCGAAGGACATGCGTTTCGAAATGGTTCGCGTACGATATGTGAGCCTACCTGTTTCCGTGGCTGTGAGAATGGTTTCTGCAAGGAGCCCGGACGTTGTGAGTGCCATGACGGTTATGCCAAAATTTCGCCACATCGCTGTGCTCCCATCTGCCGGCAGCCTTGTGTGAACGGACGCTGCACGGCCCCGGACACTTGTAGCTGTGATGCCGGATATGCCTTTCGCAATGGCAGCGAGACGGAATGCGAGCCATACTGTCCTCGCAGCTGTCGTAATGGCGTTTGCAGCAGTCCTGGCATCTGTACTTGCAATCCTGGCTATCAGGCTCTGCTCTCCTTCTACTGCATACCCATTTGTACGCGTCCCTGCATTCACGGCTCCTGTGTGGCGCCCGAGCAGTGTCGCTGCTTTCCGGGTCATCGACCCAGTCCTTCGAATCCCGATATCTGTGAGCCCATCTGCACCAATGACTGCAATCATGGACGTTGCATTGCACCCGACACCTGCCAATGCGACGAGGGCTTCGCCAAGCGCTGGCTAACAGGCAGCTGTGAGCCCTTCTGCTCGCAAAAATGCGTGAATAGCGTCTGTGTGGGCAACGGCATCTGTCGCTGCTACGAAGGATTCCGCTTGCGGGAGAACTCCACGGCCATCTGCGATCCCATTTGCCTGCCCTCCTGCATCAATGGCAATTGTGTGGAGCCGAACAGCTGCAAATGCTGGCCCGGCTACGAGGACACCAAGTTCCACAATCTCTGCATACCCACCTGTCGCCCGAGCTGCGAAAATGGACGCTGCATGGCCACCAATCGATGTGAGTGCACCGAGGGCTATGCGGCGACCAATTCAAGCGAACCCCACCGCTGTGTGGCCCAGTGTGAACAGACATGCATCAATGCGCAGTGCCAGGCGCCCAACGAGTGTGTGTGCCTCTCCGGCTATCGCCTGCTCGCTGGCAGTCGGACGGAGTGCGAGCCCGTGTGTGAGCAGGGCTGTGGGAATGGCGTGTGTGTGGCGCCCGATATGTGCAGCTGTAATCACGGTTTTAGGGCGCAACTGGACGAGCAGAGCGGTCTCTTAAGTTGCACTGAAGCTGCTATCGAAACTCTAAGTACTAAGCTATCCATTCCAATTTCGAGATGGACCATCATGACCATAGTCTTCCTGATTCTCCTGCTCTTCCTGCTCACCATATTGCTTGTGCTGCGTGAATGGCAACGCAGACGATCGACTGGCGATAAGCAGGGCGTGCATCTCATCGAAAACCCTGGATATGGCCTACACTTACCCGGTGGTAGTGGTGGGGGCGATGAGCCACTCAGTGAACAGGAGATTGGCGAGGGTGATTAAATGGAACACGCATGCAACTAGTTGTACATAGATAAATATTCTTGGATCTATTCGGTTCGTATTTTGTTAACATGTGTCGTAGGGTCTATCGTTAGAACTTATTTAGCTACAAATGCTTGGCATCGAACATTGCATACGCGTACTCGTAAGTATGCGGAAATATTCATTCTGTGCACATATAGTGGAGACATACATAAGTAATAATGCAATTATATTATGGCTAGATACGTAAGGGATGCAAGCATCAAAATAAATTACACAATACTATATTAATTCCGAAATTAGAGCTTGAGTTACATTTGCTGCTGCATACATTTTTGTACATATTAACATTATATTACAGTGAATGGGATGTGAATTGAAAAGGATGTGCTACTTCCTGTTCGTCAGATTTTAAACGTCAGATCTAGATATCCTTAAGATATACTATATCTACATGCTATTTGTTGAAAACTCGCAGGCGTTCTCATGAGATACCTGGTGGGATAAATTGAAAAGGATGTGCTACTTCCTGCTCGTCAGATTTTAAACGTCAGATCTAGATATCCAGCCTTAAGATATACTATATCTACATGATAGATGTTGAAAACTCGCAGATGTTCTCATGAGATAACTGGTGGGGTGAATTGAAAAAGATGTGCTACTTCCTGCTCGTCAGATTTTAAGCGTCAGATCTAGATATCCAGCCTTAAGATATACTATATCTATATGATAGATGTTGAAAACTCGCAGATGTTCTCATGAGATAACTGGTGGGGTGAATTGAAAAAGATGTGCTACTTCCTGCTCGTCAGATTTTAAACGTCAGATCTAGATATCCAGCCTGAAGATATCTCTCTACACGCTAGATGTTGTAAGCTCTCAGGCGTTCACATGAGATACCTGATGGGGTGAATTGAAAAAGGTGTTCTGCTTACTGCTCGTCAGATCTTAAATGTCAGATGGGATCTAGATATCCAGCCTTAAGATATCTCTCTACACGCTAGATGTTGTAAACTCTCAGGCGTACAAATCAGATACCTGCTAATCAGACTTAGACATCAATTGCCGACACATCGGATATATAGACGCCAGCTGACTACATTTCAAACACAGAAAAATCGGTGAGGCTGGATCTTAACGAGTGAGTGGCACATTGCTAGAAATAATATATAGAGTGTCTTGGGTCTGCATCGCACCTTGAGGTTAGGGTAGAAGGACTGCCAGCTCTTTTTTCATTAATTCATTCTAAAGAGTTGCGGTAATAGCACATAATTCCACCAGGATAACGTAAGCGCTTCAAAGCGGCGCATAATAACAGATGAAGCAGTATGGTAAGTTATTAACTTATTGAAGATAAGACTTGAAATTATATTTTTGGACATTTGAAATCTTTCTGTTTAAAGATCTTAAGACTCTGCAGACTTAATATCAAGACGGCCTGTAGCTGATTTTTGAGAATAAATATCACTGACGCTGCTAATTCTTTTCAATTCTGACCTTGGGTTGTTTCAGTATTATGTTTAGTTCTTTGTTTTCTGCAATAAATTCACTACTTAATACTATATGTGTGCTACATTTTTTTTTTTTAACTAATCTGCAGGGCTGGTTGGCATTTATGAAATAAACAATACTACGACCCACAACCCTGACATTACACTAGGCTTCCAGTTTCCCTGTCGCCCCCATTAAGTACGAGTACAATCTATGAACACAGTGAGCTTTCAGTTTCCCTCCCAACTGCCATCACGTTACAGGAATGTCTCATCATTACCCATGCCGAAATGACCCCAGATCATGCCCCATAAGCCGCCATTCGGTCATGGCGGATCGTCGTTGGGTGCTGGCGGCGGCTTGGCCGGCTGTAACTGTGCTGGGGGTGAAGGTTTCAGCGTCTGCGTCTGTGTCGCAAAGAAGCCGCTGGCGGCACCAGGTAAGGGCATGCCCAGGCAGGCGCTGGCAGTGAGACCTGAGTCTCCATCGTCCATAATGACCGAACTGTCTGCAGCAGATGGGATGGTGGGCAGAAAACGCACACCTAGACGTGGCGGAGAGGAGTCCTCCTCTTCCTGTACAGCTTCCTGGCGCACCAGACGCGGCTTAGGCAGACCGGTGCTGTTACTGTGCTGCTGAGCCAATTGTTGTTGGGCCTTGGAATTGTGAGCTTGTGAGAAGAAATGGGAAAATATAAAGCATTTTAAATATAGGCAGAGCAAGAAATATACAAAAATGAATGAGGAGTAAGGTGTGATGAAGATTTTTAAGAGGATTTAAAAACAAAGAAGAAATGGCAATGGGAAGACTAAAGGTGATGAAGATTTTTAAAAGGATTTAAAAACAAGGAAGAAGTGGGAATCGAAATAAAGAAGGTGTTCATCCAAGTGTTGAGCTCCACGGCATTATTGTAAAATCTTTAGTGAATGAAATATTTTATAATATTTCCAAACGTGAGAGCTGCTCCATATTTGTGGCCTAAGCTGTTATGGCTTAGAATATTCCTACCTTCTTATAAATGGACAGAAAGACTCTATTGGTTGAACAAATTCTTGTGCCTGTTCTTTCGCCAATCCAATACAATATGTTGGAGTAGAGCAGATTAGAGAGCAAACTCACCGATGATGGAGGGCAAAGGTGTAGTACTGCCAGCACTGGACCTAGACAGTCGAAATGTTGAGGTGCTCGCAGTCGTAGCCGAGGCCGACGAATCGTTTCGTGAACTGGACAAGTTGGAGTCCTGCGATGTTTTGCGTGTAATCAGCCACGCCGAGTGCCGCCTTCGATTATGCGGGTCCATCAGTTTCATTGGTATATTGCATGTATGATGAATGCTGGCCACATGGCCACCCGCACCCGGCGTCGTCGTCATAGGCGGGCCATTGCGCCAGCTCGAGGAGCGTGACGAGCAGAAATTTTCACTGGAAATGGAACTGGCGCGTGTCTGTCGCTTCTGCTTGAGCTCGGCGAATTGATATTGATAGGGATTGGCTGTGGCGGCCGTATAGGCTCGGGCCCTACGTGGCTCCTGGCTACGTCGCTGCTTTCTCGCGCTGTTGCGTCTATTGCAACAACAACAGCAGGCGCTCAGCCGTTGCCAGAGTGTCAGTTTCTGGGCGGCATCCATTTTATGCCAATTGGGCATTTCGCTGGGCATCATGCGCAGGCAACGGCAGCCGGGTGGATGGGCGGCCGGTAATAGAGGCGGCAGGTCCTTGGCTCTGCCTTCGGCACGTGCTCCTCGTCTTGCCGCCGCTGCTGCCGCGGCCGCAGCTCCTCCTCGCGTGACACGCGTCTCCTCGAAATGCTTGCACAATGTAACACAATCCTTCTTGAATTGCTTGGTCATGATGGCGTAAAGGAAGGGATTGCAGCAGGAGTTCAAGGGCAGCACGAATACCGTAAAGATCTTCGCCTGCTCCAGTGATATTAGCTGCAGTCCAAATATGGCGGTAATGGAGAAGAAGGCGATGGGGGACCAGCAGAGAAAGTCCGTGAAGACAAGCAGCGCCATGCGCTTGGCAATGCGCGAGTCGTTCGTGTTCCAGGCCTGCGATCCTCTTATGGCCCAGTACATCTTCAAGTAGCAGCCCATGAGCGTTAGGAAAGCACAGCCATTGATGATCATCAGGGCTATGACATAGGTGAGGCTCGCCACACCCGTCGTCGTCTCGAAGGGCAGGCACACAGCGAACTTACGATAGTCCGATACACCCATTAGTGGCAACAGAGCCATGAGCAGGGCAAACATCCAGCCCACTCCCATTATATAGCCTGCCTGGCGCAAAGTCAATCGCTTATTTAGATGAATGGCATGCGTGATGGCATAATTACGCTCCAGCGTAATCACAGCCAGCGTATAAACCGATAGCTCCGACGATAGTACGGCCAGAAAGCCGGCCATTTGGCACACGAGCGACATCTGCCACGGAATGGCGAACATGCGGAACTCGCCCAGCGTCGAGGCATCCACAATGGCCAGTATGCCCAAGTATATGCCCATAAAGAAGTCAGCAGCGGCCAGATTGCAGACCAGAAAGCGGGGCACATCCATCTTCGAGCGCGAGCAGATCAACACAAAGACCACAGTGCCGTTCCCCAAGAGGGCGAGCAGGAAAACCACCCACACACCACAGCGCAACGTCCACCAGTCGAAGAGATCGGCGCAAGGTAGAAAGGGACCAGGCATGGGCAAGCACTGCACAGCCCCAGGCTGTAAGTCCTCGGCGCTTATGCCGCTAAACAGACCAGCGCCAAAGCCCGCAAAGCCACCCGTTCCCGTGCCTCCCATGGCGCCTGGAGCGCTGACATCATGCTCCTCGAAATACTCCTCCATATAGCTGGGCACGCTGGTCGGATAATTCAGTTGCTGTTCATAGTTGCTGTCCCAGATGTCGTGCATGGCCACTCCCAGCTTCTTGCTCAGATTATCTGAAATACCAGGACTCGGTGAAAATAAATCTCATTGTGTAGATTATGAAGCTGCTCCTTACGCATTTGTGGCCATATGTTCATCATACTATTGTTCCAGAGCGTCATATCGAATTCGGCGTCGGAAGGAAAGAGGACTGCCTCCTGCACCTGCGACGTCTTCCGATTGGCAGACATGGCTACCAGCGGTATGAAGGCGCAGCAATGATAGGCATACGATAATATCAGTGTCTGTATGCGCGGGAATGTTTCCGGTGGCGGAAAATCGCGCAGCTTCGGATTATTGAAGGTCTTCAAATGCAATAAGGCGCGCAAGCCAGAGGCCGGTAGCTCGGGAAAGATATTGTTGCCCAAATTCAAGTCCTCCAGCGCTGTGAATGCGGCGAACGTGTCCTTGTGTATGCTTGCAATTTCATTGCCCTCCAGATCACTAAATGAATGGAGTAAATAAATAAATGAGTAAATAAATAAAAATTGTCGATGAATGGCCTTGCAAAATACATTTACAATTATTGAATTGCAGTATAATTTGCTTAGGTGACTTCAATAATTTTCACAGACGTTTTAGGCAGCTACTTATAATAAAAAGACAATTAAATTAAAAATTTGCATCTCTTGCAGATTGTTGACAATATATGATGTGGGACGGCGTTATTGGTCATTATGTGCACAATTCATTTTCAATGCGGTTTCAGTAATTAAATTGATATTTAATTTTTTGCCTTTCTGTAATTTGTCCACCAAAACTAAAGCTTTACAGCGTTCAGTTGTTGTTTCAACATGCGTCCATACTCTTATTAAAATAAGTGAATAAATGCCTTGGACTAGAGGTTGCATTTGGTGGAAAAATAAGATATTTTCTTCTACAGCCCTCTACAGTAGCGTAACTTTTTCCGTCTTCAATAAACAACAATATTTTTACAGGAATTAAATGGATATTACATTTTTCAACTTGTATCAAATTGTTTAGAAATAGTCTGTAGTTAGTACTCCAAAACTACCAGCGGCTAGTTACTGTTTCACCAATATGCGTCTATATTCTAATTTAAATGTGTGTATGTATAATGCCTTGGTCAAGAGGTTGCATTTGACGGAAACATTTCATACTTCCTTTTACAGCATTCTATAAAAGTGTGCCAATATTTTTCGATTTTACTTCTTCATTTCATCATTAAGAGCGGGGATTATTTCTTGCCAATGTTTTCTGGTTCGATTGCGTGCAACTTTCCATTGGCGCTTTCATGCGTCAGTTATTTTTTAACAATACAGTTAATAGTTGATCTGTAATAATTGTTTATTTAGCGCATAACACACTTTTTTTCGACTTTGTCAGTTACAGTGGCAATAATTTGCCGCTTTTTTGTAATTTTTAAACCATTTCTTTCGTCCATTTTTATAATTTAACAATTAATTATGTATGTATACACTGAAAGGCAAAAGCGACGCTCAAAAAAATAAAAAATGTACACATTTGCCATTCTAACTGAATATAAAGGGACAAGCTAATTTTAAAAAATTGTTTCATAGATGGCGCAGCGCATTTCTTTTGAATATTCATTCAAAATGAGAAAAAATGAATGCGGCGCTTTAATATAATTATTTGCATACAGAATCAACACTTAATCGGGGAAGCTTAGCGAATTATACTGTAGTAGAAATAATAATAAAATTAATAAAATAGTAGCATAATTATTGTTGAACTTTTAGGCCAACACTTACAGCAGCTGCAGCTTGGGTATGCCGTGAAATGCGTCCTGTGGCAATGCCTTGATCCGATTGTAGCTCAACAATAGATCATGCAATTGCTTGAGACCATGGAAGGGTCGTCCTTGTAGGGTCTCAATTTGGTTACTCGATAGATCTCTGCAAGAAATTATCCTTCATTTAGTGCCTTATTTAGTATTTAAAGCCTCATCGACGACTACTCACAACAGCCTTAAGTCTCTGCAATTACTTAAATTTGGGATGCGTTTTAGGGAATTGGTTTTAAGTTCTCTGCAAAAATAATATGAAATGAAATAAAGGGTAAGCCATCGTCTAATATATATTATAGATATGTATATATTTGATGGTCACTTACAAACTTTTCAGTCTTGGTGTTTGACGGCACAAATTTGCTGGCACATCGTGAATGCCGGCACGATCCAGCTTGAGGATCTCGAGGGCATAGCAGGCGTCCAGATCGGGGAAAGCGCGCAATGTGCGCACATCGGATAGTATGCTGACAAATAAGTATGTACAATATATAGTAGACTTTCTGATTATATATCAGTTCAACTAGTACTCACAGTTTTCGCAACTTGGCCATGCCTCGAAAGGCACCCGCTGTGATGATGGACAAGGGATTGGCTCGCAGATCGATTGTCTGCATGCTGCGTGGCAGCTCGGTGTCGTTTATCCAGCGCAGTCGATTGCTGGTTATGGACCTGAAAGTGGAGCAAGCGAGTGTCATGAGAACGCATGCCAGCAGAGCCAAAGCATCTCCTCGGTGGCATCTTGGCCACAAGTGCCACTTGCCGTTGCCTGCAGCTGCATTTGAAAGTCAAGTCGGACTTTTGTTGCCAAAATAAGTATGACAATCTAAGTGTGTGTGTGTGCGTGTGCGGATGTGTGTATATCTGTGTGTGCGTACGTAAATATGTCTACTGCAGCTAAACATCTTTTTGTGCTCCCTTATTCTCCCCTTATCTGCAGCTTTTCTTGGCAGCGTTCTACCACTATTCCAAATATGCAGTTTACACATTGTTTACTGCAGCTGTGGCCCACGTCTACAATTCGGAAATTTCATGTTCCACGAGTAGGAATTGTTGCCAACAATTGTGTGACATTTGGTAGAGAGTTGTAGTTGTAGTTGGCAAACAACTTTGACATGAAGGACTATTTACTTAACTAATTAGATGTATATCTGGGAAGCATAACACAAAATGTTTTCGCTGTCGAAATGCTTGTTGATTGCAAAAATAAACCGTCAAAAAAGGAATTGATTGGAAGATAGGGAACTTGTTTAGATAAGACAAATGTTTACGATCACGCATCACCCAACAAAGTAGCAATAGTTGTTGTATTATTAAATACTTAAAAAAAAGATTTAATAGTAATTCACAGTATTAGTTCTGCTGATATTAGGCACTCGCTTTGATCACGTCGCAACCATCAGGGCAGAAGCATAATTGATAATATTTCACGGCTATAATAAAATTAAATAATTGTCCTTAATAAAGATTAAAAAAAAAAAATCGGAAATATTTATTAATGAAAAGTGGCAAATAATCATGGGAAACATACGATAATAAAGTTGAATGAAGTTGAAAAAAGAACTTCTGAAGAATACCAAAAACAAGCTAAAAATATATGACTGCCATTTTGTTTTGAGGCCGAAAGAAATTTCAGACGCTTCCCTTTATATTAAGGTTTTTGAATGGCAGCTAAAAACTTGTATACAATTTTGTATAGCTTTGCTTAGTTTTTTCATTTACCCCCTCCATTATTGTTCTATACTTCCTCTCTTCCCAATACACTTCCCAAAAACCAACTGCAATTTCCTTGCTGTATAAATATTTTTCCAAAAGCTAAGTAAGTAATTATAAATTTTTCACTTTAAAATCCCGACTCAGTTCGTCATTTTATTTTGAATAAAGTCGCAGTGGAAATATGACATTTTACCAAGTATTCAGAATTCGGGACAATCCACTCGACACTGGCTTGGTAATTGAAACAATTTTCTCCGTAATCGCAAACAACAAAAGCCAAAAGAATTTAAAGTGCCGTCGACAAATGAACTTTTTGTTTGGCAACTTCAGCCAAATGGCTAAGACTGCTTATCCTCTGTAATTTGTTGCATTATTCCACAATGAGTTGCAAGTGGCAGTGGAAGGAGGATGCTGTAAGAAGCTAGTGTTTTTAATCCTTTGAAATTTGTTTGCTTCGCACAACCTCAAATGCAACTACTACGAGTACTACAAGTATACTCGTAAGTACGCAATTTTTTTTATGAGAATTTATTTGCCAGCTTAATTCCCCAATGATCAGAATCAGAATCACAGACAGACAACGAGAGCAACGAGTGCAACGCAGCGTGGTCTTTATCGCCACATTTAACACGCTCATAATTATCCTGTTTACCAGAAATTGAATTTCCTTGGGGAGACGCCAAGCAGACAACATTGAGGCAGAAAGTCACTCGCAACGTTGTCAACAGTCGCAAGACTGCCTGAATCAACGCCCAGCGTTGCATTTCATTGCAGGAAGAGCAAAGAGCGAGCAGCGCAAAGGATACTGCGAAAAGAACTAAAAGAAATGGTGGCAGGATGTGGCCCAAGAAAAGTCTGCAGCATGCCTTCAGCGTCTTCAGTTTTTCTCGGCGCTTTTTCTCGTAAATTCGCCAAGTAATGATGCGTTATGATTTTTGGTTTCCGCTTGTTTGCCGCCTGACGGGCGAGCAGAAAATGTTGTGTGGACAACTAACTCCCTCCCCTCCCCACCTTTCCCCAATCCCTTAAAGTGGTGCATTTTTGTGTGTGTCACCTGGATTTTGGATCACTTACAGTTCCTGCAACTGCGTCAATTCGTTGAGTCCCTCCGGCAAGCTGCTTATTAAATTATCATCCAGTTCTCTGCAAAAGACAAGAAATACTCGTATATAAGTTGAAGAAAATGAAACATGCCATGAAATACGTGCATTTCGGAATTTCGATTATACAAATGGAGTTTCATAATCACAAACATTTGCATACTTGTACTATACCCAAACGTCTATATATACGCAGATATCGCTGTATATTTGCAGTTATTTAGTGTAGCAGTATTGTTCGTTGTGGCCTTTGTACGTGTCGCCACGTAGCCTGCACAAGTTTCGCAAGAAATATAAAAACAACAACTGGAATAGCCAGCTGGGTCGACGTCCTGTGGCCATCTGTAGTGGGCGAATGCAAAATTTATGCATAAAAATACAATTTATATCTACAAAGTGTAGTGATTTCAATTACATTCGACCACGCTTTGTGGTTATGGGGTTTGTTTTTTTAGGTGAGGGATCGATTTGGATTTCCAACTATTGAGCCGCCCAGTACGCTTTATGCGTACAGTTAAAAAACGAAGTCCTTTTGAGTTTGATTTTATTACGAGAGCTAAAACAATCAATAGTTGGAACAACCAAAATTTGATTAACCCTAAATAAATAGCTAACGGGTTTGTTTTATTTATTTTCAACTATTATCGAATTAAATTTATTTGAATATTTTATTCCTGCAATCACTCTTAAGTTAAGAATATCAAATGAAATTTGTGTGCTTTTTATAAAGAGTTAATTACTGATACTCTGTTTTGCATTCTTTTTAAACTTGCCTATAAATCCTCTTTCAATTAAATTAGAATATTTTGAACAATATCTAACCAGCTCCTGCAATCAGTCTTAAGTTGGGAATAGTGTTCTTTTGAACTCGGCAAATTATAAATAAACTAAATGTTTTTTTGTTAAATTTTATTACGAGAGCTAAATTAATCAATAGTTAGAAAAAGAACACAAATTTCTTTAACTAATAGCTAACGTGTTTATTTCATTTAAACTTTTAAACAAATTGTGCATTTATTTTGATTATCGAACTATAATAATTTGAATATTATAAAGGCGAAAGAAACCATATATAACCAGCTCCTGATTAAGTTGCGAATATTACATGAAAACCAACTGGACTTGAATGAGCTTAGGAAGAGTTTAATTAAAACCTAGTACTAATTATTCTGGTCCGTGTATCCATCTTTTTATATATCTGCGCAAGCTTGACTAAAAATCGTCTTTTAATTTAAAAAAAAAAACTTTAATAAACCTAAAGTATATTTTGTTTTAAACATTTATGAAGACAACTAACAGGGCGTATGATTAATATGAATGGCGAGTGCAAAGAAACCAATTTATTTATTTATTTCCCAAATTAATGCCAGTAGCTGTTTGCTTGAGGAGTTAAGTTAATTTATCTATGATGCTGACCCAGCAGCTGGAATGCATTATTAAAAAACATAAAGCTCATCGAAAACAATAATACCAGGGGCTAATAAAATGAAATGGCTTTGCCAAAATGAAAACTCGCATTCTTATTAACACACAGAAATGTCAATAACTGCATTCGAAGGTCGGGCCGGGCAGGGCAGGGCAGAGCTGAGAGAAGCCACGAATGTGTGGCAACCAATGACTGCCGACAGCTGTTACTCATGTGTGCCCCTTGCCAGTACTTCTGAGTTGCCACTGCCGTTTAGGAGCTACGCTCGGGGACTCATGAGCTGGAAACACGCAAACGGTTGCAAAAAGCATAAATCTCGACCAAAAACATGAGAATGCACATAGAAAACATTTCGTGCAGCAAAGATTTACGCGTTGCACGGTGAAAGTTTTTCACTTTCATTGAAAATGCTTTTTAAAGCATTAAGCCATGGTGGAGCGACAGTTCTGGCCAAGCGGCCAGAGAAGGGCTGAGAAGGGAGAGCAGTCGACGGTCGCCCCGTTTGTCTGCCGTCTGTCAGCCACAACATAAATTTGCATATTTGTCTGCTGCTTGGGAGCTTTTTGCCCCACAGCGCACATAATAAATGCGCGCGCTCAAAAGTATGCAACACTAAACGCGCGTTCACACTGTTGCCAAAGCAAGCCACCAAAAATTTGCGGTAAACAGCGAGAGTCAGCAAGAGCAGCAAGCGATGCGCGTAGCGACAACAATTTAAGCTTTCCAATAGACGCCAGATATCGTGGCCGTCACTAGCGGTGGGAAGCTTCAAATATCGTGAGTAATGGCTTCACAGTTCGTTTGTTTGCCAAATGGCCGACTTAAGACAAGACTTAACGAATGGAGAATATTTAAAAAAATGGCGGCTGTAATCAACGTTAATTATATAAACAATTCTACAAGTATGTTGCTCCTAGAGATTATATGTGCCAAGGAGACAGTTTTAAAGAACCCCTATTATTTTAACTATCAATAAAAAATATCATTTCTGAAACAAATATTAAAAAGTAGTGATTACAATTGTTTGTGAAAATGTCAGTCTGTGTCACGCGGTCAGTTCTAGCTGCTAAGGTTTAAAAGTTTCTGAAGAGTTAAAAGATGTTAATTTTTTTTTATTCATTTCATGTTTGTATATTATTGTTATCTCTTAGTAGGAGGATAAAAGATAATAAATTAATTCCAAAGGCTATTCAAGCTCCTAACCATGAATTAGTTGCACTTGTAATTATTTTTTCTATAAATATTATTATAATGACTAAAATTATAGAAGAATTATTAAAAAGGAAAGCATTTAAAACTTTATAAATGGGCTATGAGCCCAGTAGCTTAGTTAGCTTATCTTTTATATTTCGTGTGTGATGCACAAAAGTTGATTTGCTAGTAGTTTTTTTCTATGAAATATAATAAATGTAGATAAATCTAAAAATTTACCCTCTTAAGGTATAAGGTATAATTTTAGGCTACCACTTTTTTAATGAAATATTAAAAAGTAATGATTGAAAATGATTGTGAAATGTTACGATTAGTCTGTGCGATCACGCAATCAACTCTTGCTGCTATGCTATTGTTTTCGCGGATAAAAATGATAGAAAACCTTCATTATATTGGCGTTAATCGGCTATTATTTCTGCTGCCACTTTTTGAAACAAATATTAAAAAATAATGATCTGTTCTAACAATTAAAAATGTTTGTGATAATGTTATTTATACCCTGTACCCAAAGGGTACAAGGGTATATTAGTTTTGTGCGAGTGCACATGGAACACACAGAAGGAGGCTTGGTAGACCCCACAAAGTATATATATTCTTGATCAGCATGACAAGCCGAGTCGATATAGCCATGTCCGTCTGTCCGTCTGACCGTCTGTCCGTCTGTCCGTCTGTCTGTCTGTCTGTCTGTCTGTATGAACGCAAGGATCTCCGAAAGTATAAGAGCTAGAATAATCAAACTTGGTATACAGATTCTCCTGAGACCGAGAAAGGACGAGTTTGTTCATTTTTTCTGATCCACCCCCCCACTCCCCCCCTATTAACGATTTTCTATAACTCCCGTAATTCTTGGAATTTTGAACTAAAATTTGGTAGTCACATTAGGTTAGTAATTATATATCCGTATACCAAGTTTCATTATGATAGAATGATCGAAAAGAAAGTTATAGCCATATAACCAGGCCCAATGCACACATACATACATATGTACAAGTACACAAACACGCATAAGGCACGATTCTGATGTAAATGTAAATGTATGTATGCATGCATGGAATATTTTATATTTAATTAGTTAATATTTAGTTAATTAATTAAATTAATTTAGTTAATTAATTAAATTAAATTAATTAATTAATTAAATTACTTTTTTGTGGGGTGGTACAGGGTATTTAAGAGTTGAGCCTGCTCGACTTTAGCATTCCTTTCTTGTTTTATTTTGTGCGGTCACGCGCACATCTCTTGTTGCTAATGTTGAAAAGTTTCTAGAATAAAAAAATTTTATTTTGGTTCATTTTGTTGTTGTTGTTCGACAAACGGATAAACACCATTTCCACTTGTACTTTCAACTTTGCGTCGTCAACGTCAACGTCAACTACAACTGTCTTTTGGCCAACTTGTGTGCTATTTTTGATATCAATTGCATTTTGTAGGTCGCTTGGTCGTTCGTCGTTTGGTCGCTTGGTCGCTTTGTCGCTTAGGTGTCGCATGTGAGTGTATTAGTATGTGTGTTATTATTATTTTGTTCTTTTACTTACAAAACTTTTAAAGCCGTTAAATTTTTGAAGGCGCCAGCGGAGATCTTCATGATTTGATTGCGCTTCAACAAACTGCAAACAATAATAAAGGGAGGGGGAGGAACGAAGAAAAACGCCAAGTGGCATAAAATTAGTCTTATATCATGGTGTGTGTCCTTCTCAATGTACTTACAGCACGATTAAGTTTGGCATGCGCGGAAAGTCCTCGTCATTTATTATTGTCAACAAATTGCTGCCCAAATTGCTGTGGCATTCACATTTATATCCGCGGCAGCATCCACAAAACGTCGCATTGAATTCGCATGTCGAAGTGGGAAGAGAGTGGAGAAAAATATTACGAGCTCATTTCTCATTTATTACCATTATTTGGTTTCGTTTATGGACTTTCGCCTCCAACAGTCGTATAATAAACAAGTTCGACTAACTAACTTAATTTATGGGTTAAAACTGTAAATACCGTGGGCTTACAGCGCCAACAACTATGCGGAATGTGATGAATAATTTAGTAGTATATGCACTATATTAATGATTGGTAATTATTAATAATAAGTAAGTAATCGGATAAGAAATAAAGGCAATGCGTCATCGAGTTTGTATGTTGGAATATAAGTTTTCACCATCCATTGCTTTCCTTCTTGAATGGGGCAATGCCCAAGTATTTTAACAAAACAAGCATTCGATACAACTCTAAGATTAAGCTTGACAATCTAATTTAAATTTAATTAAAAATGAATAAAAATAGAGATATATTTGATTCATACAGCCAGCCTAGACTTGCTAATGGCTCCAATCTATCGAAAACTTTGATAAAACCGCCAGTTAATGCCCACTTTTGTAGACAAAGAAGTGGCTATTAATTAATAAATGGTACTCTCTTTATTAATTAATTGACACTCTCTGTAATTCGTTCATTTACAGACTAGTGTACTGTGGAGCCTTTTCTCTATATGTATAGTCGCTAGCCTTTAAGTACCAGATACGCATTCCATAGAGTCATCGAGCTTATGTGTTTGTTTAGCTTAGAGGGAAACAATTTCTAATTATTATTTTTAATAAAACAATCATGCGATTCAAATCTAAGCTTAAGCTTGATAATCTGATTTTAGAATAAACAAAAATACTGCAAAAATTAATATAAATAGAGATGTATTCGATTCATATAGCCAGCCCAGACTTGGCTCCAATCATTAGCCTTGACAGAATCGTCATTTAATGCCCATTTTTGTGGACAAAGCCGTGGCTATCAATTAACAAATGTTGACCAATATATTAAAACGGCTCTCTCTTTAATTTGTTCATTTACAGGCTATTATACTGTTGATCCTTTTTCTCTTTGCTTTTAATGCCAGCTACGCATTCCATAGGGCTTTCCGTCCATCTATTTCAATTACACGCTAAATTTTTAGCCTAACCACACATGCCGGCGATAAAATGTTTGCTAATTATGTGTGTGTGTGTCTATGAAGCTCGCTGGCAAATAATAATAATAATAGCAAGTGATTAGAAAACACAAACAAATCCACAAATTGCGTTAAATGCCATGCATAATTATTGGTTGATAAATCGACGTAAATGTTTAATGAATGTGCAAAATTAAATTGCGGGTTGAACATGCGAACTGCAACAACGAAAAGCAATAAGAGTCGTTGTTAGCTATGCAGAGTAGAGCGAAAATGTTTGCACAACTCCATTTAGGTTATTTAGTATTTAGTTTAGATTGGAATTTGTTGCAGCAAAACATGCAAAACTATAAACGGAATATGGTGATAAAAAGAACTGCTCACAGTGCTTCGAGTGTCTTTAGTCCAGCCAAAGCGTTCGTCGGTATCCGATAGAACAGATTGCCCTCGAGGCGTAGGGTTCGCAATTTCTGCAGTTGCTGTAGACAAGCGTTGTCCAAGCTCACTAAGGCGTTGCCATTCAATTGGCTGCGGGTGTGTGGAGGATTGGTGGTGGTTGAGGAGGAGGCAGTGGAGGAGGAAGTGGAGGTGGATGTGTGGAGGAGGAGGTGCGACAACAGCATAGCGCATGGGTATTAAAAAGGGGTCGCATTGTAAAAATAAAGAAGTAACAGAAAATATGAGAAATAGCGTGTAATTGCTGCAAATGCTTTTAGCCAACTGTGTGTGTGTGTGTGGATTGTGTGTGTATAGTATATATGTGTGTGTGTGTGTGTGTGTGTGTGTGTGTGTGCAAGCAGCAGCATAACAAATATGGCGATGGGCAGCCAACAAAATGGCAGCAAGCGTTTTTAAAACTAATTGATCCTTGCGCTGCAAAACTCGCGTCCTTCTCGCTACATCTTCAGACTTAATTGCTTGGCATGGCAGAGTGTAAAAGCAAACATTAAGACACCCATCGCACAGACAGACACATACCCTACATGTAAGTCAATGTGCATGTGCTTGTGTGTGTGCGTGTGTGTGTGACTTTGTATTTGTGTCTGTCTGTCTGTCTGCATTGCAATACTTACAGGGAGGCAAGATTATTTAGTCCTTGAAACGATTGCGCCGGCAACGCTTTGAGGCCACAGTTCTGCAAACTCAAACGTTTCAATTTACCCAAACCATAAAACGCATACGGATCCATATTAATGATGCTATTGTCGGCCAAAGTTCTGCAAAATAGTTCAGTAAACAAACAGGAGAGTGTGAAAGGGCAGCCCATCAGCTCCGACGGAAATTGCAAAGGCTAAGTAATTAATTATGGCAAAATACATGGGAGGAGGAGAAGCACCCTCGCTCAACACTACGTATACGTAATAAAACAATTTATATTGTGTTGGGGCAGGTCCCAGCCCACCCCACCCCCATCTAGACCACTGCACGGCGAGAGTTTTGGGTCACTTCGTTGACTCGTTGACCGCTGTGATTTTTTGTTGTTGTTTTTTTTGTTCTTTTTGTGTTTTGCTGACCCTGCGGTTTGCTGCGCTCGTGAAATTGAATAATGAGTGTTGCGCTCATGACATGACAACAACTACAACAATTACAACAATATCCACAATAATAACAATAACAATGGCCAACAACAGCCAAGTTGACAAGAAACTTTTCCACACCTCCAGCTCTTATTTCCCATTTTGTGCTCAATCACTGAACGCTTAAGGCCTGATTAAAAAAGCAGAGGAGCTGTCCTGCCTCTCTTCCTCATCTCGTGAACCATGAACGCCACAGGGAACCCCCCCATCTGACCATTGCGGTTGTGGCTTATGTGGTTTGTGGTAACGGTTAGTTAAATAAATACATTGCAGATAAGCAGCTGAGCTCCATGGGATGGCTGTGTACTGATTTAAAAGCCATGGATTCTATTTTAGAGGATATTGTGAGAAGAAGTTTCTTCCTGGAGTTAGGGCGAGTGTGAAACCAATATAAAGAACTTAGATAGTCCTTGCTTATAATCAATTCAGTCATCTCTATGGTCCTAAGAGCTGCGTCAATTTGATTAGTTGAAGTATTCTGAATTTCCTATGGTCAGAATAACATATTTTAAGTATTTTAATATTCATTTAAATTAATTAAATAGTCTCTACTCTTTTTAAAGAATTTTTGCAATTTTATAATTTTAATTTTCATCCAAATCATTTTTTTTTATACTTGAATGAATATTTATTATTATAATTCTTTATGTTTCCATGTTTTGACAGTTCTTTGTCAGAAATAAGTAAATATTGGAATGAATAATCTAGTTAGCAGAGGCTTAGCCTACATTCCGACTGAATTACAAACTTCGGTGGAATTCAAAATTGATAAGAAAAAACTTCTTTTAAAATATTCCAACATAAATAAAAAAAAAAAACGAAAGACCTTCATCAATGTGTTGGCTTATATCCTTTATCAGAAATAAATAAATATTGGAATGAATAATTAAGTTAGCAGAGGCTTAACTTCAAATTTCTGTTGAATTCAAAATTGTTATAAGCAATATTTTAAACAGTTCGCTTCTACCCCATCAGGAATAGCAAAACAAAATAGACCTTCATCAATTTGTTGACATACATATATGCTTGAGAATAGTCGAAGAAAGAGATCTTGGCATACTTACAGCTCCTCCAGGTTCGGCACCATGTAAAATGAATTGGCCTCCAATTTGGTTAAATTGTTGTTTCCCAAATCTCTGAAAATGATAGAAAGCCGCAAGAAAAATAAATTAATAACTTGATTTACACAAAGCGGAAGACTGGCAAGTACTAGGAGGAAAAAGGAATGCTATCTATCACGCGTTCAATAAGGAACAATTCAAAAACGCTTGTGAGGATAACTTTTCTATTGTCATGAATAGAAAATGAAGCCAAAACGTTGCCAAATGTGCTCAGAAGCCAGCGGCAACAGCCACACCAACACCAACAACCTTGTGTAGGCCATCAATCAACTGCAGCCAAGGAAGGGGAGAGCGATGAAAAACGTATTGAGGAAACTTCGTGCGCACACCTACGAGTAGAGGGCTCGAGAAAAATGGCGTGGAAATTAAGATGAACTGTTAAGGCAACAGCAAGATAGACAGGCGGACAGCTGGACAGCTGGAGAGACAACAGTTAAGTGAGAAGCTGCCACAGAATTTGATGAAACCAAGTGGTGGCAAGTCAAGTTGAAATGTTCCGCTTCAAACCCAATTGCCCGAATTCATAATTAAAGTCTCAGGCTCAGTGCCCGCTGCGTGACGTGGCCATAAACAGTTGTTCGGCTTGGCTGTAATGGCTTATGACTGAACGCTAAACGCTTGCGTTAATTAATAAATTATTTATTTATTTCGATATGGCAAGCGTGTCCGATTATCGCCAGTCGGCTGCACATTAATCAGCAGCGGCTTTGCGAAACTTGGGGCACACACATACTGACATACTGCCTCCAAAAGCGGACCCCGTTCTCCTTTGAGAGCAAGCTGGCGGGCATGCTCCAGTGGCACGAAAACGTGACGTACATGCGAAAAGCCTCCATCCACATGCGACTCAGGTTGCACAATCAACGTCAACAAGCGTCGCGTCGCCTCGTCGCGCACAACATGGCGTATGTGTAATTAGATTAAGCTGCATGCCAAAAAGAAGTTTCGACTTTTGCAAAAATTAACTTGTAATTATGACGGAGAATGCATTTCGAGAATGCCTCTGAATTAATCGCTTAATAATACATACTAGTACTATGTTATGACATGAGCAATGGCAATAGTTAAGCTACGATTTGATTTCCTAAGTATTACGAGAATGCGGACATTCTTCCGATTCGGTCATTTCTTAAAGCTACTTAAAGCTGCGATGAATTACGATATGAATCATGATTGACAAAAATATAATAAAAATATATATATTTCAATATTTGTACAGAAATGTTGGAAATGTGGCAAAAGCGGCAATTGAAGTAAATGAAAATCATTGGAGGGCCTAATCGATTGAATGTTCAACTAAAATAATTAACTTAAATGAAAAATTATGAATAAGGCATAATACTCGTACTGCTTGTAATTAGCAATCAGTTGAAAGTAAATGTAAATATAAGTATTACAAATAAAAATATATTTGAGTATCAATAAAAAAAAGGCGAAAAATAAGTTAAACAGGGAAATAAATTCAATTAAGTATAACTTATTAAAGAAAATTTCCAAAAGTTAACCAACAACATACGATTGATACGATTTTAGGCTAGGAAATAGTTTAAAAAAATTGTTTATTTGGAATATATTTTACGTTAGCTTAAGCTTTATATTTATCTGATTCTAAAATATTTAAGTTAAGAAAAAAAGTTATTTATTTATTTTTTATATATATCCAGATAATCCTATTCAATTATTATTAATAAGGGAATTGAAAAATCAATTGAAAAATGTTTAAATCAAGTTTATAATTTAAAGATATTGTTGAAAAAAAGATCTCTTCCAGAAAAATGGCTGATGGCTAATGAACCTTATTTCTTAAATGAATAACTAAAAGAATTAGTAATTTATTTTTGAAATGCTTTCCATTCTACAATTAGATATTATATTCGATTACTCACAGCACAATCACCTCGCTGGGCAGATTGACGGGAACGGCCAGAATTCCAATACTGCGACAGTTGAGCTTCAGATTCTCCAGACTCCCGGTGCAGTGGCAATGCTTCTGGAGCCACAGCTCGCAGACGCTGTGCACGGTGCGTGTGTTGCTCTTCCCAGCTGCCCCTGCCCCTCCCACTCCCACTCCCGCTGCCACTGCTGCTGTTGATGTGGCTGCTGAGTTGCCGGAACCCAAGCCGGAAAGCGTGTTTGTCGCCTGACTGCCATGATACTCCTGCAGAGATTTCTCGTAGAGGATTTGGGCTTCACGCTCGGAATCTGCAGAGGGCAGCATCACATTCTCGCGTATCCCATGGCCATGAGAATAGGGCGTGCTGCTCGTTTTGGGCGTGGCTGTTGTGCTGGTGCTGGTGCTGCTGCTGCTGATTGTTGTGGGCGTGGCATTGAGGGGCGGCTGACTTTCATTTGCACTAATTTCGCTAAATTGAACTTGCAACTCGTCGAGTTGACTTTTATGGCTGATGGTTCGATTTGCGAGCTTTGGGTACTCTTTGGTTTTATTGACAAAGCCGTTTAACTCGTCACTTGAAGCGTCGTTTACCGTTACTGCAGGCGTCGACGTCGCCATTGTTATCGCACTCACCTGTAGCAGCGGCAGCAGCAGAAGCAGCAGCAGCAGAGAACTGAAGAGCAGTGGGTAGGCGGCAGCCACTGCTCTCGCGCTCGCCAAATGTTTGGTTCTGTCTTGCTGTTGTTGTTGCTGTTGTGGGTTTTGTGGCTGTTGTTGTTGTCGTCTGCGGCATCGCCGACACGCTGCCATCGTCGTCGTCGTCTGCGTCGCTGTCGGCGTCTCTGTTGATTGATGCTGTCAAGCATTTGTCATTTGATGACAGTTTTGTGTGCAATTCGTTTCTCGCACATGATTTTCTGTTGCTTTTGTTGTTCGCTCTGCTGCTGTTGTTGTTGTTGTTACTGCTGCTGCTGTTGTTGTTGTTATTGTTATTATGACTGCCGTCGCTGTTATCTCCAAGTCTGACGCGAACCTTTGGCAGTTGTTGTTCTTGTTTTGTCTGTCTTGTTTGCGCACTTTGTTTGTATTTGTATTTGATTTATATTTATTTCATTTATTTACATCTTCACTTTCTGCCTCATAAGTTCGAGTTCCTCTTCATCTATGTACTTAGCCAAGAACTACATATGTATAACTTATTATTGAATCATGTTTTTCACACACGGTTACTTAATGGATTGACAGTTCCACAATTTTCGTAAAGAAGAAGAATGTTGTTTCTTTTCCATTCACTTTTGATTTGATGTTAAACTGCTTTAAACAATGTAAAACATTTTAATTCTATTCATTCACACCTTTTCATTTAATAAACATTGTACTGTATTAAATAAAAGCAAATATATTTATGTGATATTTGCTGTTGCTGCTGTGAGAATCAATATAGTAGAAGTTAGATTCCCGTAGTAGTAGTTAAATATGCACTCCACTTATTCTTTGTAGTTCTGCGATCATTCACGGTTCTTGCTTCCCAACCATTTATTATGAAAGTTCACATATACATACATACATATAGTACTTTTAAGCAGGCAATTAAATATCAAAAATGCTTGCCAAGCTACTTTGTTTTTTTTATAAAAATTTACCAAAAGTTAAATAAATCGAAAATCATAATTAATACACATATAAGTATATTTAATAACATATAAATGTATTTGTTCCGGCAAAAAAGAATCCCTAATGACTTGAATGAGTTTATTCACAGAACTGAACATAGTTTTGGACAGAGTGTTAGAAATTCAACACACTCAGAATTCCTGAGCTACTAAAAGGACACATGCAGGTGCATATGTACGCCACGCACATAATCAGGCAAGCAAAATTAGTTGTAGAACTTTATACTAGCGATAGAATAAAAATACAATAGAAAAAATTAAATAAGTACAATCTGCAAAGAAGTAATTATACTGCAACCGAAAATTAAGTACCATAACTTCTTTTTCTGTTGGAGTCCTTCTTAAAGTCCATGACATAGATATCAACTATTAAAAGATTATAATTAAACGAACTCGTGCGGACTAGGGACTGAGAGAGTCGACATACGAAATTTGATTGAAGGGCTGTTAGGAAATGCAAGTGCTCTATGGGGTCGAAGATGCTTCCTTCTGTTTCTGTCAAAAATTTTCTGGTTAGGCTATAAAAATGCCTTAAATACTGTAAACTAAAGTAAATATTTAAATTTGAGGTGCAATTTAAATAAAAACCTAAAAATTAACTTCAAATTAAACAACATTTTGTATAAATATAGTAATAACAAAATATTTTTCCCATTCTTTTCGAAATTTGCGAGAATAAGTTATTATTATTTCTTATAGTGTATAGCAAATATAAGTATTTGATAGTCCAAGTATAAATCAAACTATTTTTGAATAAACATGTTTCCAAGTCGCATTCCCATTTCACAAAATTTCATTCATTTAAACAAAAAAATTATTGCCATTGATCTTGAATGGCACGCCACCTAAGAGCATAAATTGTTGCGCTCAAATTATATATATGTATGTATATTTATGTATTTCTTTTCAGCACCTGGCAACCGACTCGACTGGACTCGTGCTGGCTCTTGCGACTAAATACTCGTATAGCAGACACGTTAACACTAAATATTTAGTGTTTATATTGATGGGCAGGCACCCACGTAGAAATTCATTTCGTTTTGTATACAATTAACATAAAAGTGGAATATTCATAATGCGCATGAATGCGAATGGCAGTGGCACTCATAAATACAATTCAGTTTTATGGGATTATAGTAAAGCAATCGGATTCATCGCGTGCCGTGATGCCCGCCCAGTCGAGTGCTAAGGTGCCGACTTGAATGGAAAAACAAATAGCGGAGTAGACGACGCGACGACCGAAACTATCGACGAGCTGGCCATTGTTATTGTTGTTGTTATTACTATTGCTATTGTTGTTGTTGTTGCTTGTTTGTTGTTGTTGTTGTCGGGGTCAGTGTAACACAAACATGCAATAAATCATCGCAGGAATGTGTAGAAGGTGGAGGAGCGCTTGCTTCCTGGGATTCGCTCGTGCTCGGGATTAAAGTCAACGACTAAGCATATCTATTTTGGCATAACTATTTTCGGCATATCTTCCCCCATTTCTATATATTTTTTGCATTCCCTAGTTCCCTTGTCACATTCTTATCTTTGCAGATGAAATATTTGCCTGCACATTGTGTGCAGTGTGGCTCGATGGTTAAAAATATGCCCGAAGCCCACTTCATTCCCTCATTTCTGCTCAATTTCGTGCACAACTCGGGCCTGAAACTGTCAACAGCTCCATTAATTACGGTCGAAATTGTTGAAAAACGAACATTTGTGGGTGTGAGCTAATGTCAAAATTGTCATTCATCAGCTAGCTGTTTGTTCTTGTTTGAGTTGCGCCTTTGTCTCCAGCTTAGAATGAGAATGAGTGAATGAGTGAATGAGGGAGTGAGTGAGTGGCTGCTGGTCAGTGTTGACTCATTTTTGTTGGCAAATATGAGCTCCATGCGCTTGTTAGCTGATTAGGAGCTTTGAGTAAGCAATGTTTTAAAATGTAAACATTTCTGGGCAAGTCCACAACTGTAGTAGAGGGTTTGAGAAAACACAAATTAGCCCGAACTGAGGTGCAACATAAGATGTTTAATTAACCGCCTAATTACATAAGATTATCTTGTGGAAAAGCTTTACATTATAATCGGGCCACAGAAATTCCACTGAAGCATCGACAATTAAAGCGTAAAGATATTGCATTTGAACGTTTTGCCGTTAATTAGAAAATGAAATATTCTAAAATGAAAACATTCTATTAGCTCTTACATTAGAGCAGGCCTACGTGAAGTATTTTATGCTGGAAAATAAATGTAACATTAAAAACGTCTCTACAATTCCTTGATTCGATTGTGTTCCCTATTTTTTAATCCGAATATAACTAGGAAGCTACACCTTCTAGATTCTGCTTTAATATCAATCTGAAAAGTTAAAGCCATGTCCACAAAGCTATTGTCAACCTAAAATTCGTCACTGGTGAAATAATTAATTTATTAATAAGTGTGTTTTAAATATTATTTACACTCAGATATGTAGAGTTATGTAAATCTTCGAATCTACCCAATTCTCTGCCCGTAGAAGGTTTTGCCATTTTGGAGCTTTTCTGTACTTATAAGAAACTGAACTTTTCGCATAATATATTAAGGACACACATATATTTTATTGATATTATTGCGCTCTTGGAAGTCAAGAGAAGCTTATAATTTAAATGTCGCTATAGTTGTTGATAAGTACAAGATGTTCATAATTATTTAATTTAAGGGGCATATAAAAACCAATATTAATGTTCTACAATTTTGGAAAATGTTTTATAAAACAAGACAAAGCACTTTTGAAAGAAATAAATAGAGAAAGTATATCTTTTGCCCACAAATATATCTTTTGCATCTATTCTGAAGAAGCTTTAGGCCAGATTGTAAAAAGTTGTAGGCCGTTCAAAATTCATACACAAATCGTTATTTTCTACATTTTTAAAACGATTCTAAATCAATTGGCTTACTCACATATGGACCTCAAAAATGTTTAAGAACTGTATAAAAATATAGACCTTGAAATCAACAGCTTATCCAGCAAGAACTAACGCAATTAAATAAACCCTTAAACGTACAATTAAATAGTTCTAAAAATACATAATAGATAATTCTTCCATGAAAGTAATGGCAATAATTCATTTTTTATACCATTACTAATTTCTCCTATGTTTTAAAAGCAAAACATTAGAATATAAATTTGTTGTTGTAGCTTAGCTTTATGCATATTTTATATTCTCTGACATACTCACAAACAAAAATCAATCTCACATTTTTCTCTACATTCAATCTCTAGGCTTATACGAGTAGATTGAAGGCATCGGTCGCATCACACCATTAATAAATTCAAAACTAAACAAACAAATGGAAAAATCATGGGGAGCGACCAAAAAGCACGCAACAGCAAGTTCTAAAGCTGCGGGAAAACCTTAAAAAATATATTTTTAGTTACGCTGCCTTTCCTTTCCCAAACACACACACGCCGAACAAGGAACACCGCACTGTACAAGTAAGCGAACACAAAATGTAAATATTTGTTCTTCGATGTGTTGGCGCTGAAGGACTCTGGTAACGAAGGGTTGCACACACGGCTGGGCAAAGATTGTTGGTGGAAATATGCTGATTTTTTTCATGTCTTTTAAAAAGTGCGGCATTTCTTAAGTGATAGAAATGGCTAAAGCGGGGCTTTGTTTGCCCATTTTATGGAAGACATAAATATGGCAGCGAAATCGACAATAGAAGTCTCAGTTGACCAGAGCAAGAGACAAAAGAATAGGCAGCTTCTGAGGCATTTAGTAAACTTTTCTATTCCAGCTTCACTTCTTAATAACTTTGTAAAGAAAATAAATCAAAGAAAACAGCGATTCATTCTAAGAGTTAAGCTCAAGGACAAAGACATTTTTTGGTCGTTGATAAAAAAGTTTTAAAATTGAACAGATAGTTGGTCTATGAAATCAATTACCACTTGGTGTTGTTCCTTTTTGAAATGAATTCTAAT